CTTTTCTCTGTGTCATTCCAGGAAATTCAACAACAACGAGCTGCTCAGAAACTGACATTTGCCTTTAACCAAATCAGGCCGAAGACGATCCCTTACTCTCCGAGGTGAGAACAAACGCAGGCTGTGGCAGAATCCATCCACATATCTAACATCGGTTTTATTTTCATATATTGATCTGATTCGGTATGAATGTCATGCACAGCCTCCAGACACGCTTTGTGTAGCTGGTTGTGGTTTGGCAACACAATGGATGATTTACACGCTTCTCACTGTGTTACTGTTGTTCCTTGTCTCGCACTATTTCAACTATATTGTGCTAAGCTTATTGATAGTATTATTGATTTCATTTAATCAATGAACAAGTGCATTTACCACAAAGCCAAACTGTTCCTTTTAAAGCATCAACACATTGGTAAACATTTCCTTTTCCTACCTTTCTAAATGCATAATACCTTGAGTCACTTTAAATGCTAGGCTGTTGTTTCTTTGCTGTTTAAACCTCAAATATAATTAGGAAAATTAAACATTTTGGAGCATTTTCTTTGTCCTGTCGGCGTTAAACCTGTGTCCCCGCTGTGTTTAGGTTTCTGGAGGTGTATCTGCTCTACTGTCACTCTGCCGGACAGTGGTTTGCGATAGAGGAGTGCATCACCGGAGAGTTCAGGAAGTTCAACAACAACAACGGAGATGAGATCGTGCCCACCAACCTGCTGGAGGAAACCATGCTGGCCTTCAGCCACTGGTCCTACGAGTACACCCGCGGAGAGCTGCTGGTGCTCGACCTGCAGGGTAAACACTCGGCACTCTTACGTTACCAAAATGAATCCCTTTGAATGGAGTCAAGTTTGTTGTTTATTTTAAATTAAATAGCTTTTTTACCTCGGTTTATGGTTTATGGAAATGGGTTAGGTGTAGATGTTCCCCTGTTTCATGCATGTGAAAATGATTTGTGTAAATGAAAGTCCTTTCTCCATTGTCTGCTTGTAGACTTAGCCGAGTTTCTATCATGACAATAAAGCTTTTTCGTGTGTGTGTGTGTGTGTGTGTGTGTGTGTGTAGGGGTCGGCGAGATTCTGACAGATCCATCTGTTATTACGAGCGGTGAGAAGGGGTAAGTGAGCTCTCACACGTGTCATTCACCTTTTTGAAATATTTGTATACCTTCTTCTGGCTCAATATTGTAAAGCTAAGCCAATCGTTAGTCAAAAGCTGATAATTAAATGTCACTTTTCCTGACTCCTTTGCTACACTTTATTGAGCATCACTAAGCGCGCTGTGTGACTTGTAATTTGCTGCTTTTTACTTGTTTGCCTTATTATGCTTTTGTCTTAATGCAATCATAAACGGAATTTTGAGGAACATGTAGAAATTGTTGAAATTCTTCACCTTTCTCTGACTATCTTTTATAGGCTACACTTAAGTATGAATTAAGGATATTATTGTAAGTAAGTGTATTAATGCACAACAAACACAATAACCAGTAGCAGCCATACCATATTCAATACACTTCCAACTCTATCTGTTGCTTTCTCTGTTGTGTTTGCACTCACTGATCTCTGTGTGACTCCTGCAGATCCTATGATATGATTTTTGGACCGGCCAACCTGGGGGATGATGCCATCAGGAACTTCAGATCCAAACACCACTGCAACTCCTGCTGCCGCAAACTCAAACTCCCAGGTGAGGCGTCAGGAGCGGCTGCTGTTCAGTCAGCTTATTCCTAGAATAAATGATATCAGACGCTCCAATCTCAACTCCAACCTTTAATGACTCAACCAGAGCATTCGGATGATTTAATGACTCCCTCCAGATGCGTATCCAGTCATAAAAATACTCTACTTTGAGTTATGATTTAGTTTAATAGGTTTTTTCACTCATGGTAACAAAAATAAGTAACAGCAATTCAAAAAAGTAATTGAACATAGAAAGGATTGAGAAAGCAAATGACAATAATAATAGTGTTTAAAAATGGTATATTGTAAATAGCGCAGTCATCTCTCAGCAGTGTTTTGTGAAGTACCTGCCAGCGTCAGCATGAGTAAACAGTATATGTTATTCATTGCACTTGTATTTTAATAGCACAACACTGAACAGCTAGAACAGCCTAGTCAGTTCAAGAAATGACATCCATTTCCTGTGACGCAGCCTTTAAAAAACAAGCAAAAAAAGACACTTGTGCAACATAACGATATCCAAAATGTAGGATGTATGTATTGCCCAGCTGTAGCATAAACATTGAATGAGAGAATACAAACACAAGATAACTATTTTAATCTCTTGCAACATATTTGTCCTCTTCTCCTCCCAGATATAAAGCGTAATGACTACACCCCGGATAAGGTGACGTTCCCACAGGAGGACCCTCCGAATCCAGGGGGCGGGGTCAAAGAGTCCCGCCAATCAATGAGGCTGATGCTGTGAGCGGATCGATGTGAGGAAGTGATCGAGCGAGAGAGAATTATAGGACGCTATTTCAGATCAATGTTTAGTCGAAGCCAAGGAGCAGAGAGGCGCACCCAATCAACTGGAAGAATCACACCTGAGTTTCCATGGAAACCAGTGCATGCAGACTGTGTCATGCTTTTGTTGATCCCGCCAAAACGCTGTCGAACACAATTCAACCATCTTAACCTTGTTTTGTTTTTTTAAAAGTAAAAATACACGAGGAGAAGAAGTTTTTAAACATATTTTGTACAAGTTTATGAAAATATATATATATATATGAACTGGATATATCCACAGGTACCGTTTTGTTGCAGAGGGTTTATTATTTATTATGAAGTTTGAGAAGTTGCCTTGTTTTAAGAAAAAAAAAAAGAACACATCTAAGTGCATTGTACATCTGTTACAGCAGCTTCAGAGGACGGCTGCTGAGCCTCTGCTACACCACATCATTTTTATAATGTGTAAAGACTTGTATCACAACCTTTTGTCTCTTAGTTAATGAACAGATATACATGAATTTGAAAATCTTGTAAAATATGGGCAGATTGCAATGCAACTTTTACAGAACAATGTATGTAATGTTATTGTATTGAGAGTGTGTCCACCAACATATTGCTGATAGTTTTTATTGTTACAAAGGTACTATTGCTATATCTTTGTCATCAACTATTGTATGAGCAAATTACAATCTAGTGTATCTTATAGATACTGTTATCTGGCATGAGCTGAACAGATTAAAATATTTTATTCAGGGGAACTGACAGACGTAAGGGTATTACTGTAAACATTTTGTACTGGACATCATTTTAAACAAATAAAATGTTAAAAAAGCTTTGGCAACATTGTTCGAAATCATGTCTGTGTTTCAATGCGTGACAATTATTCAGATTAAAATCAAATTCATATTTAGTAGTAAGCTTTAAGAAAAAAAAACAGGCACTTATATCTGCAGGGGTTATTTCCAAATGTCTTTTATTTGGTATAAAATACAGCTGAAACTTTCTGGGTCTGTTGAGCACAAAAAACAAACTTCATTGGGGCCCAGATGTCAAGAATGGATGCTCTTTTTTTTGTCTTTCTGACATAATTCAACCTTTTATTTAATCAATGATATGATTTAATCGAGAAAATAAAATGCCATCGTAAAATGTTGTGTCCACATTGATGTCTCAAAGTCAATCTTTCAGTTTATGTGTACAGACGGAGAGATCGAAATAACGTTTCCAGGTCTGTATATATTTTCAGGCTTGCATACCTCATATCACCATTAAATACGTTTTAATTGAATTGTTGCCATTGCACAGAGTCCATCATCAGTGGGGCAGTGCAGTCCTGCAGATCGTCCTGCTGGTGGATTCTTGAACTTATCTGTGCAGAGGAGACAAAGAGGCTGCTGTGTGAACAGATTCCTCAGAGGGACAGCAGCTGCTGGGTTTTGAAATCCCCCACAATAACCCCCGTTCATCTGCCTCGGAGCAAACTGATAGAGGCTCACCTGTTAGATACAGTGATAGGTGAGCTGAGGACACTGATGATTGGCCCTTGGCTTCAATTCTACATCGGTACAGTCAATTTTCCTCATTCTTAACGGGTGAGGGATGAGTTCAAATGATCTTTGGTTATTTTCTACAGAAAGATAGTTGATGATTTGTCCTTCAGCACTATTGGAATAGCATAATAATTCAATTATAATATTGAAACTTGGTGAGTTTGAGGGGGAGAAACCGAAGCCGATCATCAAAAGTGCTCCAGTGTAATGTTTTGAGCCAGAATGAATGTGCCGCTGTCTGCATGTTAGTCATTGTTTCACTTGCAACCTGACTCAAGAGAGTGCAATGCAAAGGAAACTAGTCATCCATGTATCTAACAATGCCAATTTGAGTGAATTGGGTCTGGAAAGTCATTGAAAAGTCCTTGAATTGGTTATTTAACGAGGAGTAGGAACCCCCTGAAGAAGGAATAATTAAGGAAGTTCTTGAAATTCTTGACTGTTTGTGAATTTTGAAGGAAAAAATTGAGGCCTTGAAAGATTTAGAAGATTCTCATAAATAGACAGGTGTTTTAAAGTGCTTAAATGTATATATTTATAAAAAGATATATTTATTTACATGCAAGAGAAGACATTTAAGTGATTTTACGTTGTTATTTTTCTCAAATCTCTACATAACTTACAAAATATATTGTTTTTCTGTGTTAGAAAAGACGATATTGCCTCCTGTCACTCTAATACAGCAAGGCATTTTCAAACATATGGACGTTTCTCTCTTGTTATTTCTGAGTTTCTTTAATGCCTGCTATTACTCTTTGTGTCACAAATTCTCAGTGTTGTGACAGTCATTAACCTTGATCTATGTCTCAAACTAAGCCCTGTCTGGTCATTGTGAGTGAAGTGGGACCTGTGAAACCTTTGAATTTGAAGAAAATGAAGTGGTGTGGGAACACTTGGTTAAAGAAGCATTAAAGTAACTCTTAAACACGGCATGAGAAAAGAAACTAAGTGTACTAGATATAAATAAAACTGGTGGCTAGGTATGACTCAGAAGGCAGTCAGACTGGTTTCCCCTCCCACAGGGTGCGGTGTACTTTTATAAAGAGGAAAACAATGACTCTGCACTTTATTCTGTTCATTTCCTGACTGAAGGCTCACATCTCTCCGTCGATTTACAGCCGTGAAAACAGCTGTCAACCACCATGGCTTCAGTGGAGGTCGAATACTGGTGAGTGTTCAACTTGATATACTGTAACATGATCTCCGAACACACTGTAATAAAATCTCTAAAGTTAGAAGATGGATCTTTGTTTTATTTCACACTACTGTAGGGCGTAGTCCTGTTGCTATTGGGGAAAACGTAATATATCTCAATACTCATACTAAGTTAAGGATCCTAATTTAACAGGATTTAAGAGGATTTTATATAAGTAATGTCTGTAAACATTGCCGTTTCTGAGCTTGTATTAGTATTGTATTTTTCTTACTACTTGTTTTTTTTATGTAAATACTTTTCATCTAATAGAATCCATTTTGTTTATACCACCATGTATTACGTACAGTGAAACATGGGAAGCATTCTTGATTGAAGTTTTCTGTACTTTACTTTGTGTCAATCCAGCAATTCTATATTCTTTAAAACTAAATATTGTATTTCATGGTTTTACAAATAAATATATTGTGGATCAAAAGAAAAGGACACAGAAATACTGTACTTTCCATTGAGCTGTAAAAGATCTGCTTATTTTGATCCACACGGCCATTCTTTATTGGTCTGAGAGTTTCTGTGTGCCAATAATCTGTTTGTTTTTCTGATGTGTTTCTCCTTCTTCTTGTTTTGTTTGCAGTAGCGGATGAGGTTACTCATACCGTTACGGGCAACTAGCCGAAGCAATTCGGCAGGTTCCTGGAGTGAAGGAGGTGACCGGGAGGGTCGGGAGGCAGAGTAAAGATGCTTTTGCTTTTACACTCAGACTCATCCGTCATAATGAAAGAGAAAATGACACAACATAAAGTAGTCTTATCATGACACGTTATGACCAGAGGTCGAAGAAGTACTCAGACCTTGAACTTGAGTAACAGTAGAAGTACCAGAGTGTAGGAATACATGTAAAATTCCTGCAATCAAATTGTGACTCAAGTAAAAGTACAAAAGTATTGCCATCAAAATAAACTTAAAGTACCAAAAGTACCAAATTGGCTCATTTCAGAATCATATATATGATATGATTGATTATAATTATTGATGCATAAGAGTGTTATCAAGGCTGGTAAAGGTGCAGCTAGTTTGAATGACTCTCTATACTGCAGGCTAGCTTGTTACACTCAAACTAAAACATTATTTAAAGGTGGGGTAGGTACGTTTGAGAAACCGGCTCGAGATACACTTTTTGTTATATTCCATGGAATGCTCTTAACATCCCGATAGCAATGAATATCTTAAGTGCTTTGACAAAAAATCCATAAAAAAATGTTATCTGTGGAAGCCGTAGTACTGTAAAAAGCACGACCAATCATTTTAGCCGGCACGGCTAAAATAACTGGATGGCCTACCTGCCTGTCAGCCTTCCATCTGTGCACAAACTTATCTCGTGCCCTCATTGGTCATGTGCGCGTTCGTGTGTGTTGGAGGAGGGGCTCTGTAAGGAAGTGGCAGATTTTCTCCGGGTGTGTATTTTCAAATTCTACACACTCGAGCTGGTTTCTCCGAAATTACCTACCCCACCTTTAAGTGTTAATCATATTTCACAAGTAAAAGTACACGATTAACCTCTGAATTGTAGTGGGGTAGAAGTACAAAGTAGCAGTACAGTACTTGAGTAAATCTACTTAGTGACTTTACACCACTGGTAACAATGGGATTTTGTAAACACTGTCAAAGAAAGACTTTAAACTGTGTTTCTTATTTCAGTTAGCCGACAGTATCTCTTGTCACTTGCAGAACGTCCTAAAAATATTATTGTTTACTCGTTTTTCTTAAGTGTCAGAACTTGAAAACCAACCTGTTTTTGTTCTGGTGTTTCTTTTGTTGACAGGAATGTAGCATCAGTGATATAGTTCCTGTTTCTCAGATAAACCTGCTTTACTTACACACAGATACTATTGTGTAAATAATACAATATACTACAATGAATTAACATTGATGTACTTTCTCACCCCACAGACAGCTTTGAGATTTCTGTGAACGGCCAGCTGATCTACTCCAAGCTCAAGACGGGAAAAATCCCTCCTCCGGATGAGGTCAGTGTGTCAGTCAGTTATGTTTGCTACATCTTTTTTACAGTTTAGCATTAAAACAAAACAACTGATTAGTTTTAAGTGGATGAAGGTTTTATTTTAGGGTCATAAAAACATTTGGATGTCAAGTTACAGTAAACACTTTTTGTTTTAACTGTCAGCAGAATCGATATCACATTCGTTATCACTAGTTATTATAAAATACCAGGATTACCTGGTTACTGATGGGGAATTCACATTTACCTCATCAGTTAATATAACCTAATATAAATCAATTTGATTTCATATTCAACAATAAACAAGGGTCATGCTCTGTGACACCATCATACTAACATGCTCAAAATGTTAACCGTGTTTGAAGTTTACTGTGATAGCATGCCAACATACACTATAAAAGTAGTACTTATCACAAAAGTTAAGCAATATTAGACGAGAAGTCGGACTTTGAGTTGGACTATCAACCAAAGAGATTACAATTCATCCTGAGGGGCTCATGAATGTTTGTTGACGATTAGATGACAACTTATCCATGAATTGTAACCTGTCCTTAATAACCTAAATGTTTTGTATTCAGGTGGTGAAATTGATCAAGAAGTTCTTGAAAAAATGAGGACACCGTTAAAAGCTGGAGGTTAAAGCACCGGCTGTATTCACACTGCAAGATCAATGGTTTGCTTTTTGAATGGCTACATTCTCTCACAACTGCTTATTTGAACACAGAAAAACAATTCTAAAAATATAATTGGGAAAAATTCAAACAAAGACAAAATAATTTTACCGTCAGCCATCAGACCATTTATCTTCACTGTGATTACAGACAAGCGACGATAAGAGCAACTCTGAAGATCTGGGCGCTGATCTTTACTTCTTTTTATGAATGAACACATGAAAAAGAATGCCGTGTGTTCACGATGCAAGTCAAGAAGTTGTTCAGCTGCCTGGAGCCTGAGGAACTGCTCTCTTCAAAAACATCACATGTATACTTACTCAGGAATGGAAATAAAATGAAAATGTTTATCAAACCACACATGTTACAAATATAAAGGAATATTTTGACATTTCTGGAAATTTGCTAATTTGCTTCCTTGCCAAGGGTTAGCCAAATGAGACGACTGCTACCACTTTTATGTTTGAATGTTAATATGAAGCTACGGCTAACGTTTGGTTAGCTTATCTTAGCCTTATGTCCCGAACCAAGGGGATATATCTAGCCTGGTTCCTGTCAATCAAAGCTGCCTACCAGCACTTCTGAAGCTCACTAATGAACATCTGTTTTGTTTGATCCATGCAAAAACCAGAGTGTACAAACATCAATTTGCTGTTTGATGGGGGGGTTATATGCCGGACTGTTTCATTGCCTGGCCCTCTAGCAGAGAGTTACGGGTCCAGGCAATGAAACAGTCCGGCACACAACCTCGTGAAATAGTGAATTGTAATTTCTACACTTTTGGTTTTTGTGTGGATCAAACAAGGCACAGTAAGATGTTTAGTTTTGTGAACTTTAGAGGTTCTGGTAGGCAGGTTTGTTAAGTCTGAACGGTCTGAACAGAGCCAGTCTAGATGTTTCCCCCTGTTTCCTGTCGTTATGCTACGCTAAGCGAACCAGCTGCTAGTTGTAGCCATATTGTTACCATTCAGATAAAAGAGTGGTCATAATCTTCTCATTTAACTCTCTGCAAGAATTTATAAATGCCAAACTATTCTACCAATGTTTGGTTGGTCAGACATTCAATAGTTTTTTTGTTGATTAGCACTAAATCTGAAATCATGATGAATACAAACTCTTCTCTTCAGATTGAATTTGCAAAATATGCCCTACTTTGAAAAAAAATGAATCTGCTATTTCTTGTTACTGTAGCAATTGTATTAACGTAGAAAAAATGACTTGACTCGAACATATATTTGAACTTTTGAAAACAACTTAAAGTATTGTTATGCTTTTGTAATTTAATTTGTAATAAATTCTAATTCTCTGAAATGCAATAAAGCATCACTGAACAACCAATGGTGACTTTTACTTATTGAAGTGCCGAGTTGTTTCAGCAAAGTAAGACTACGCTGTCCTGACTTCAGTTAAATGTCTCTCTGTGTGGTGATCACAGCCGGCTGTGTGTCTGATACCATCGTCCCCGTCAATGGCGATTGACTTCCTCCTCGTCCTTCTGTTATCACCAGATGAAATCAATATCAAAAGGCCTATCTGATAAATCAACATGGGGCGGAAACACAGCTTCCTGCTAAAACATGAATTCTTTGTACACTGGTCAATCTGGAGTCTGGGCTGTTTAGCTTCTATATGTCACGACTTATTTTACATTAAGTGAATGAAAACTTCTAAATATACACAATTTAGATTGATTTTTAAAAACTGTTTTCCATTTGCATTTGTAGATTTCTCCAAAATTCCAGAAACATTAGCATTGGACAAGTATGTATTTACAAATATAAATGTATATAATATATCAAAAATTCCCTTTTTAATACACATTTAATACGTCAATATAGTGTTAATATGATTGATATGACAACAAATAAAACCCGGACATTTCCAACCTGACTTTATCCGATGATTAGATCTCTGTAGAAATGAGCACGTAGTAGTTTATTTATTAATATAATGCATCATATGAATATATAAACATTAAACTGCAAAAATGTATTTAATACATACAAATAATGGCTTTATCTAACACATTTTAGTTTTTTGGTGATATTTATTCGTAAAAAAGTCTGTAAATGCTCATGATAGGTGTTTACATTTCTATCTGCAAAGTAACAATAACTAGGTGTCAAATAAAAGTAGTTGTGAAGTAAAAGTATAATATGTGCATGTAATATAATCTTATTTGTTGAAAACATTATAGTTATCATAGCATTTTATATAAGTAAACAGTACCTTTCATATTTGAGAACTTGATTAAACAATCAGAAATATCGGAATATTCATGTTTTTTTCAGTGGTCATGTATCTGTGATATGTGAACATATTGAGCGGTGATAAGAGGAGCAGCTGTGTGTTGTTGTGTCGGTGAGTGGAGGTCACAGAGTTTAACACGCCGCTCGCTCCCCTCACAGGGTCCTTCTCCGGCCTGTCTGTAGCCTTAAGCTTATTGATTCCTATTGAAAACATAAATCTTTAAAAACGGGTCATGGTTCTATATGACTACTTAAAAAAAAAAAAAAAAAAAGGCTAACCAATAGGCAGAACAAATTTCCCAGCTGGCACGTGAAAACAGTTAATCTTATTATACTATATTATAATTTCCTAAAACAGCTGTGCACTGTTTTTATTTGAGCACACATTAGGGGCAGACTGTGTATCTGTCGGGGATTTTTTTCAGCCACAGATTTGGTTTCTATTGAGTATTTGTGGCAGCAGAGCAGCATGTGTCATAGACTAAAGAAAAGAAACACAGTGACCCTGTTCATCAGAATAAGGAAATGTATGATACGCAGAAATATATTATATCAGGCACAGAATACTAGTTAATATGATTAATTCACTGTTGGCTTTTCATGGGATTTATTAACCGCATTATCCTTTAAAGGGAGCCATTGTTCTTTGTGTTTACTGTCAATGTAACAATGAAAGGCACATCTATTTTGGCTCTTTAAGCCCTCTAGATTGATTTTGAAAGTAGTAATAGAGGACTTCTGCCCATGTAATCTCTTCACTATATAATCCATAAAATACACAGATAATAACAAGAGATTTGTCTGCTGTTTGCGACACTGTTGTTGGGGTTTCACTGCGTGGTAGAGTAAAAACTGTCAACAGGAAACTCATCTCCACATCAGAAGCTGCCGTGGTTCTCTTTTTCACAAACAATGTTATCTGTACTTTGTGTTGTGATCGTAATGGAGACAATAGTTGGTGTGTGTGTGTGTGTGTGTGTGGGGGGGGGGGGGAAGGATCATTTTCAGCTCTTCAACTGATTGTGAAGACCCACACATGGGCTCTTTGTCTGCTTATGAGAAGTCAGAGATGCAGGCACAACGACCTCATTGCAGTTTCACACACACCACACACCTCATTTGTAATCATCAAGTGTGTGAGTTCATCTCCCCTTAGTTAAATATGTCTTTCTAACCTGTATTCCTTTTCTTAGGGATTGTTTGGACAAAAAGCTTTCAGAAGTTTATACAAGTCAATGTTGATAAGCTGTAACTTTTCCTATCTCATTTTTTGTTGACATTTCTGTATAAAGGTCCTTATATTAAGCAATATAAGGCCATTATAAGTCAATGTGTGTACATATAACATTAAGATCAGTAACATGTGTTAATGTTGGATTACTATACATGTATAAGCACGTATAATAAACTAGTGTTATATCAATATACAGGTTTTTTTATTCGAAAGTAACAAATTACAGATCCTTGTCTCAAATACCAATGTCACATTTTGAGCGCAAGTATGTTTTGTGAATCCTGTTGCGTAACTTGAGCAGAGCGCTGGTCAGAGGAGCACAGAGGCAGACGGGAGGACATATCTTATTAATGGAAATATGTCTGAATATAAAAAGGAGGGCAGACCATTTCATATTCATACTGTGCTGACCTGCTGAAAGAGGACACACTGAAAGAATGAAAGACTTTTCTGCACACACAAGAATCACAAACTCCATTATTGGTTCTTTTTTTATTATAAAAAAAAACAGTGACAAATAAATAGACCAAAACAATGTAAAAATATAATGTTTAAGAGATCTGTTGGGGGGGGAAATGCTATAGCAACGTTTTGTTTCAATAGCAATATGTTTGAAGTCAGATTGGTCCCTGGTTTGTTTGATATGAGAAACAACTCTACATATCGTAGCACCGGTGTGTTGTCATGAGCGCTGTAATTTCACATGGATGCAGGACACGCATGAGAACAATGAAACAACTGAGTTAGCTGCGGGTCAGATAGAAAAAGAAGGGGCCCCTGCTTACAGTTTCATTTCATATAAATATAATATATTAATTTATACATTGTACACAAGAATGGCTCTATACCACGTACACAACTCGGGTAAACACATGAATAAAAAGGCAGCTTACAATTGAACAACTCAAAACCAAAAGCTGTGGGAATAACTGAAATGAAAGTCTTATAGCTGCACAGTCGAAAATACAAAACATTGAGAGCAACGATGATTCTGTGCAGAAACCTGTGCTTTAGTAATTAAACCGTCTAAAGATATGCAAGCTAAATGCCACTTACTCCAACATTTCTGAAGGCATTGAGATTATGTTTACAATCTTAAGGAGCAAATGTCAGTATTGATGTGTCTGTGGGGTCTGAGCATGTGCAAACATTCAGTTGATGATTTGAGATTATAACCCTGAATTCACTACAGATTAGGCCTGTGTTCGCAGCATTGATGTTCGTCTGCTTAATTGTGCCAAATGAGAACATGGATGGAGACGTGTTAATGATGACGAAGGCTAGTTTAGCGCACCAGGAGGAAGGTGAGTCCGGCGAGGCCGACCCCAGCGACGGCCATCAGCGCCGTCTTCATGGACGAGTCCTGGCTCACCCCTCTGGCCGTGCGGGAGAACGAGCAGAACCCCTCCTACGAGAAGAGAAACAACAAAATGGTTAAAAACTTTTCATTTACTGGCAAGAGCGAATGTTTATCTGCAACTCGTGAGGTTTTTAAAAACAAAAAGAGAGAGTATAAGCTGCCAAACTGAGTTAAAACAAACCGCAGCTTGGCCGACAGCTCGCGGCAATTATACGATATATTATGGATAATATGTCTCAGTCACTGACAGCGCCGTGTTTTTACATAAACACACAGATATTTGCCCTCAGAGTACTGCTGATATCTGCAACTTTTTAAATATCCTGACAGCCAAGCAGTTTTTTTAAAGTAAGCAGAATAAATCATGTCAAAGTGTCAACCTGAAGTTATAGAAAGTGGCATTTTCTTCATTTTATTGCAGAAATAATTCAATTTGGTTCTATATATATATATATATATATATTTATATATCTAGCTTATTCTGCTCCTTTAGCAAGACAATAAAAAACTGTTCTGCTGTAAATCTCTCCATCATGTTTGAGGAACTTGTACTTTACTTGAGTATGTTCACATTATATACTTCAAATGTTGTACAAGTTACTTGCAGATTTAAGGTGTATAGGTTATTAATACAAAACCATTATATTAAAGATTAAGCGAGCAAATAGTGTATAAAGTCATTCAAAGAACCTGTAACATGAAGTTACAGAAACACATGGCCTTTTGTTCGTTCATAGTCAATTTAGTTATAAACTAATTCTAGCTTCTTCCGCTCCATTAGCCAGACAATAATAACCAGTTCTGCTGTATTTGTCTCCGTCATGTTGTCGGACTGAAGCCACACAGTTGGCCAGAGTTGCACCTGCTCTCGGCTCCAGGTGTTCCTCTGCAGCTGCTTGTTTTCATAGTCATACCACGCTAACTTCAATATGAAGCCAAACCCAACACACACAGAAGCCCTGACTGTTACTACAAAGTCCATCTGGCTGAGCTGGTTACGTGTCTGTTGAAACCAGCTGCCAGCTGAAGAAAGGAGGGGTAAGGGTGTGTGTGTGTGTGTGTGTGTGTGTGTGTGTGTGTGTGGGTGTTTGGGAGGGGGCCAGGGCAAACCCATTGACAAAAGCAGACATTCAACTGTAGTTGTGTTCCCTTTGGTGAGGCTTCTGGGAACTTGGTTTCATCACAACCCTTTTCCCACTTAAATAAGACACAACAAGCACGTTTGAAATGATCTTTGTCCTTTTCATTGCCACTGGCTAGACAAGTTTATAGTCCAGTTCTGCCCGACAACACAGCTTCTGTTTGACCTTTACAAAACAGTTGGATAATTTAAGACCCAACTCGGTTTGAGGGTTGTCTTGTTGTCGACGACATTCCTCACAATCTCTCCTGTTGCTACTCTACAATTCATATAATCAAAGCAACCACATGAAACACGAGCGTCCGTCGTCTCATCTGCGAAGCGTAAACTCAAAAGGCTGCATCTAAACTAAGCCCTGGCTGGTTTCTAGGCCACGTTTACACAGATCTGAATATAAAACCGAGCAGGAAGCGAACATGATCCTATCAAACTCTGGGGGGGTTTCCAACGCCCAAATTCTAAATGCACCACTTTCAGTTTGAGTCTGAAGGGGATTTTTAAAAATGTAAATGGCCTAACGCCTTCGATACAATCAAAAATACCCCTTATCTCCAATGTTTGTGTTGACACAGCTCTGCAATATCTAAGCTGTGATCAGTTGAAAGGCAGACATGTTGTAACCTACCCATCCGTCATTCTCCAGCATCCAGTCCTTCTTCTCCTCCCCCAGGTAGTCAGCGATGGTCTCTGCCAGCCCTCTGCAGCTCCCAGGCTCCGGTCCTGGCTCCTGCCCGGGATCCTGCCCCAGCTTCACACCCTTCTGCTCCTGCAGCTGTCTGGCCAGCACCCCGGTGAAGGTGAAAAGGGAAACAACCCTCCCCCAGTTCAAGTGTCCATCTCCCACCAGCTCCTCTATCACCTTCCTGAGGCTGGAGCAGGGGTCCGGCCCACACTGCCTGAGGAAGCTCTGAGCGAGGGAGTGGAAGCGGGCCTGGTGCTGCGCCTCCATGTCCCGGGCCAGGCACCTCATGGCAGCGGCTGACTCGCTGGGAGGCGGGGGGGCTGGCCGGGGGCTTGTGCAGCACAGGGACAGGTAGTCCTCTGCCAGAGCCAGGGTCTCTTTCCACAGCCCACACGACATTTTCTACAAGAGAAATCAAGTCATTCTTCTGCTTTGAAGAACCACATATATGGTTTGTTGATTTGAAGGCAACAGCTCATGGTAAAAAGTTCATTCAAGTACTTGAGCAAAGTATACCAACAATAATGCTAATGTCATAGCATAGTATGTGTTAAAAATGTAATTGTATGGCATAAAAAGTCAGAACAATGTCATAGTATGACATTAACAAATGTCATAAAAAAGTCAAAAAATGATACGAGTCGTAGTAAAGTGTCCCATTATGAAAAAGTGATGTCATAGTATTACATGTCATTATAGAAGGTCATACAAAATCTCAAAGTACATTTGCAACTTTCTTATCAAAAAGTGATGGTATTGCAAATTCATTTAAAAAAAAAGTAAGAGCACAGCATGTCATAAAAATGCCATTAAAGAAAGACACAGTTATTTAAATGAAAGCTTTACACAAATTAGCAGATAATTCCATTCAGCACATCCTGCAATTAACGAGGTTAACCAACAACTGCCCAATTCATAGTTAGCATTAGCATCCCCTGGAAATAATATTTGACCACTAATCATTTAAGATATTTTAAATATAAAACAAATAGCAGCATCAGAATACTCTTAACCCCACTTTATAATAACTACCAGGTTTTTAAAATAAGTAGACATGGAGGGTTTGTTAGCCTGGTGTTAAAGGCTGCCAACAGCTTCCATTTAAAGCGCTTGTGTGAACGCTTGCTCTCGGTTAATGCAAGCCGGAAGAAGCTAAATACACAGCTATACATATATAAATATCAGACTAGTTTGAGTGTTGCATTACGTGAATTATCCTTTAAAAGGGGATTTAAGTGGTGAATTAGCAGCAGGCTAACCGGCTGCCTTTCCTCCTCAGATCTGTCACCAGAGCAATGGAGGACACAAAGGACCACACAGGCTACGAGGAGCTAGCTCACTGCGAGAGCCACATCCGCACATTAAAACGCCTTTATACTGTAAAATACAAGCACCTATCTGTGGTAAAAGCTGTACATTTACAAAAGGACACATTTATAGCTAAGTCAAATACATTTTTCAGTGCGTAAAAGAGACAAAACCTTACCCTCCCAGCGATATCAGACTGCTCTCTGCACATACGGACAGCGGAAGGAGATCCTTGTTGCACTCGCACTCAGGCTGGCTGCTGCACTTCTATCAGATGACTCCGCCTCCGGGTTTCTTATATGCATCTGCTCCACCACAAAAAATAAAATGGCATAAAAAAACCCGCAAAAGTCCCGTCAGTATGCAGAGCGCGAGCTGTTTCCTTGATGATAGGAAAAAACCCAATTAACTCTGTCATTATCAGGTAGGGAAATCGAAAGGGCTTGTCAATAATAAACAAGTTGAAGCTCAAAATTATTGTGTAAATGTACAACTTTAAGATTATTGTAAAGCAATACAGATTTAAAGACTACTGTGTTGATTGAGACACAAAGCGAAAGTTATGAATATCACATGTAATCATTTTAAAATGATCTCTTTGGATAAAAGCGTCAGCTAAATTATATGTATTGTAATGTATGGGTCATTAGCAGACACATGTAATTTTTACATTTACCAAAATATGGAGGTCTCTGAGAAATGCAAAAAGTGTCCCATGGAATTTCTAAGAAATGATCTTGCCAAAGTAGGTAACTATTTCTCTAATATACTCCCAATATTTTTTTTAAGCACAAAACCTGCAAAAAGTCCCATCAAAATACAGATGCTTCCTTCTTTCTCTACGATAAATGTGGAAAACACAAATTATCTTCATCATTAGATCATTATGCAGACAGGCTTTCAGGTAGAAAAAACGAAAGGGCTTGTAAATTATAAAAGCTTTGAAGGCAGCTAAATACAATTGTGTTGTTAATACTAATACAATATTACAACCATTACTTATATGTTTCACTTTTAAAACCCCAATAAAAAGTCACAACATTTGTATATAGTATGCCATGTCATTTTTTATGGCATATGTCCTAACGAATGCTGAATTCCTGCCATTTAAATAACCAAGCAATTTCTTCATTATACCTGAAAATAATAAGCATGAAACAATAATAAAGGATCTTGCCTGGTTGCATATGACACTCATTGCAGCAACACATCACCTTATGTAAATTCATAAATGTAATCTTCAATTATAGAAAAATATATTTAGGTCTCATGTAATCCATCGAGGTTTCATTCATCACAAAACCATCTCTCTCTCCCCTCAGCGTGTAAACTACACACGGAAACACTTTAGTGAATGGTTTGAGGAAGTGGAAATGCAGAGGGTTTGTAATGAAGAGGGCAGTCAGTTTAAGAAAATGGTGGATGTAGTGTGGTGAATCTGGTGACATTTTGGGTACTTCCTCTGCCTGGTAATACCCATCTGTCCACTCCACTATCCATCCCTTTCTCTTCCCGTCTCTCATCTAACTCTCTCTTCAATGTACCTTGGGGTTTTCCCATGGGTGTTTCCCTATTTCAATTCCAAATAACCTTTGATTCAGGCTGGAGTCGCGAGCGCGCGGGGGGGGGGGGGGGGGGGGTGCTAGTGGACCAAACGGCGGATAAACTGTGGCGTGCTTATTGCGCCGCATAAGCGCATAATAGTGCGCCGCATTTACACTTCAGATGAGGAGGTGAGGCCCCCTCATCGCTGCATGAACCCGTATGGCACAATACAGCTCAGCCTGGTTTACCTGTACGTCAATCAAGGGTGATCGGCTAACTTTCTTTTTCAATGCCATGCGATCTACCCACACTACGCAAAGGTAGATATTGGGCACCCCTGATCTAGAGATGTGTGTGTGTGTGTGTGTGTGTGTGTGTGTGTGTGTGTGTGTGTGTGCGTGTGTGTGTGCGTGTGTGTGTGTGTGTGTGTATGGGTGTTTGTGTGTGTGTTTTATCTGATCCAGATGGTTACTAATTCCTTTTCTTTATGGCGGTCATTGACCGGGAACACCATGGGGGTTTCAAAGTTGACTAAATCATCCAAAATTCAATGAAAGTGGTGATCAGCAATTTTATATGTTCAAATGTCTACTGTGAAGGATATCATAAAGCCTTAATGCAATCGAATATAAAACAAAAAAGTTATTATTGATGAAAGTAGCAAATCGGTCAGATTTGACCCGAAGACAACAGGGGGTTAAACAAATAGATAAAGCAATATGATAATAAAAAATGTTGGAAAATGTTACAAACAAATTCCCAGATGACATGTTTTTATATCATTTGATACTCAAATTTGACTGGTTTCAGGGAAGCTCAGACTCACAGAGAAATGTTTTATCCACTCAGTAATGAACAAAATTAGTTTAGTAATGATTTAAAAACAGTAGATTCGTGTCTCAGGGGGTGTTGTGTGATACCTAAAACGGTGATGTGGAAAGGAGGGTTGACCTTTGGTTGTTTGTCTTTTAAAAATAAAGACGTGTACCATAGGAGACCATATGATCGATAATGTTTTTAGCATTATTGGAGTGTAATACTGTTGCAATTGCAGAAACGTATGATTCTAATGTATTCAAATAACAAACATTACAAATAAAATGTGATGGATTTCATAACTCAAGTACGTTTTAAAGGGCTGGTAAAAGATTTATCATACAGAGATGAATTGAAACCATTGAAAGCTTGGAATGGTTGAAAAAATTGCAAATATCTAAAAGCACAGCAGCATGGTTTGTATAAAACAACATGCTAAATCCCTATGCTCCATTAAGGTTTCAGAATGTATACTACACAGTGTGTACAGGAGACAATGCAAAAGAATTTTTTTGTATCTTCAGCACAAGAAAGAGACATGGTCTGGGATGGGCCTTTGGAGTCAGAAACACACACATCAATAATAGGAAGGCACATCCGCACATTCTTCCTAATGCACTATATTGTTAACATGCAAATCATTTGTGAAATGATAGAAGAGCCTCTGAAGCTATCCATTGTTCAACTTCCTCTTTGCAATGAGTAACTTAAATGATCGGTATGTGATTTATCAGTAGCAGCTTTTGTGACCACACTCTCATTTCCTTTTTCTTTTGGCAGCGAGTCTTTCCAGGGGAAATAGTCAGGAGATTTATTTTAACCATTGCATTACCCAGTTTTAGGGAAGCTTATTTGAATTCATAGCACCGCAGGGTAACATTTACGTCACGCTGGAGGAAGTTAAACGGAAGAGAAAATTAATACGGAAGCTACATGGAAAAATATGTTTCGTACAAAATATATATAATTGATAAATATAGAGAAGATGTCAAGTCTCTCTCCTTAGCTAGTTTCTTTGCTGTGCGTGACGGTATAGCTTCTGTAATGATAGAGAAGTTGAGGTAGTATATCATCTAGTAAGGTCACTCCTGAAGTTTGAAAGTATAATATAACAGTTCAATCTCAAAAGAGCTTCAACACTATGGAATCCCTAAATACGTGAATCCAGAGTTACAACAAGAAAATGTACTGTAGGTTTAGTTTGTCCAAATCATATTCAATTGGCATAGCTGCAGACTTAAAGATATGTCTTAATTTATGCAGATTATCCCTTGAAAATACACTCTACTAGTTCTACATGAGTGTGCTGTGTGCATGTGTGTGTGACAATTAAAGAAGGTTTCATCCTCAGATTATATAGGAACAGCCTTACATACATTCCTCTTACAGCTGTGGTTCAGTTCACCCCCCCCTGGTGGCAGACAGTGTTACCAAATTCATTCAGTACTGTTTCCCTTGAGCTCATATAGTTGCATAAGGTATAATACATCAGGATAATGGGATGTCTTACTAAGAATATTGTCTTTAAAACACACACAGAATAATTTGTCAAAATCAGTAATGATGGTTGCCATTTTTCCCCTGCTTATGCTAATGTCTGCCACTGGGATTGAAAGTAGGTCAGCCTCGGTGCCAGAATGCTGCGCTGAATGCAGACTGTGTGGCACAATCACTTAAAGGGGACCTATTATGCAAAATCCACTTTTTCATGTCTTCATCAACATGTGTCCCCTCTGTGTAAAGAGATTCTGAATGTTTCAGGAAAAAAGATTCGCTCACTTTTTGTCCTGATCCATTTATATAAAAACCTGTCTGAAAATGAGCTGATTAGATTTTGGCCACTTTATGATGTCATGATTTGTTGGCTTGTGTAACCATTAGCCAATCACCAACCAAGGTAACCCCCCCCCCCTTATCACCTGAATCTCCTCCTAGAGCACCATTGTGTTCTTTTTAACCAAATATCTCTCAGAGGGGCATGGGGAGGGGCTCCTTATTTTCATCTGAAGTAACAGACAGAGAATCAGCACTTTTGCAACAGGGCTGAAACAGAGGGGATTATGGGATGCTACAATGATCTGTTTGGTGTTTGGAGCCAAACACGTCAGAGACATGTTTTGTATATATCTGAGACCTATAATAAAGAAATGAAAAACAGTATAATAGGGGACCTTTAACATCAGCTGATGTATACCAAACATACATTTGTATCTTATTCTTGCAGAGACATGTCGAGTCGTTTTGATCTGCTTTGGCTCCACCGGCATGAGATTATCAGTGAAGTTGCAAGAATTAAGTAAATTGAAGGTAGAAGAGAAAACAAAGGTACCAAAACATACTTAAAATCTTCTTTTATTTTTCACACAAGAAATGTATCTAAACTGTTGAAGTATATTACACAAGTAAGTGGCTGCTAAAAAACTTCCTTTGGATAATACAACCATTTATTTTGCAGAGTGCCACTGTAACTACAAAAAATACAGTGTGAACACCTATGGTATATTTCTGGACAATCATATTATAATATATTTTATTAAATGATTATATTATCTGCAGGTCTACATGGCAGAGCAGACACATTCTTTACACTATTTTAGCAATAAATATGAATTCATTATCAATCTGTCACCATAAATACCCATCCTACAGTTATGATGCAATGATATCATCTCTTTCAGAAGAGATATTTTAGATTTCTGTGCTTCTGTGTGTTTGTTACACCGAATGTTTATATGTACACTCTCCTGTATTAGTGTTGGCAGTCGTATAATGCTGGTTCTGTCGTCACTGGATCACTGTGACGTCAGCTCTAGGACCAAATCTGCAGGAGAGAAGAGTGAAGAATCATTAGTTATTAGCTTAAAGTTCCCTACTCTTTTTCAACAATATATCATAGGTCTCAGATAAATACAAAACATGTCTCTGAAGTGTTTGGCTCCAAATACCAAACAGATCATTGTAGCATCCCATAAACCCCTCTGTTTCAGCCCTGTTCCACAAGTGCTGATTCTGTAGCTGTAAATGCTAATGAGCTGCTGCTGGCCACGCCCCTCTGAGAAGTGATTGGTTTAAAAAAACACAATGGTGCTCTAGGAGGAGATTCAGTGGATAAGGTGGATCAGGACAAAAAGAGAGAGAATCTTTCAACACAGGGGACACATATGTATTTATAAAAGAGATGGATTTTGCATAATAGGTGACCTTAACACCTTTAAAATGCAATTAATTATTTTTCCAATAAAAAGCAAGTGTAAGAAAACACATGGTGTTAATATGAGGACATGGTCGGCCACACTTTGGCCACCAGATCTTGATTGACGTCTTTCAGTAACAGGTTAGTAGCCCAACATAACCTTTTGAACCATTTTCGAATTAAAATGATCCAACATATATACTGGACTGGACAGTTATAATCCTAAAGAGATTTCACAGCAATTTTCAAATCACAATTATCATTGCCAAAATAATTTGTGACTTACTGCACATTTCCTCTACAAGGACTTTGTTCTTAGTTTTATTTGATTTATTTTAAGTTTTTTGCTATTTTGTCAAAAGTGTGTGGCTTGCTCTTTTAATGTGAAACTTTGTAGGCGGCTGTCCTGGACAGGGCCCCTTTGAAAAATGTATTTTGTATCTCAATGGGAAAAACTCCTGGTTAAAATAAAAGTAAAATACCAAATAAATACACAAAAAGAAAAAGCAGAAGTTATTTAAAATGCATTGGATTAGTTAGCCAGGATTATGGTATGTGGATTATTAACCTCATCATCATCATCCCTTATTTTACATTTTTTAACAGCATGATAAACCCAAACACTGGTATATCGAGACATCCCTAATCCCAACCCTTTTGTCAAATAAGACCAGGTAACATTCATGTGTTCATTTAATTAAAGGAGCTCAATGTAACTTCCTATGTTGTGATGTGATGTGAAAAAACTGGCAAAAACTGAAAATGAACAACAGTGAAGTGGTACATTCATGATGATGCTTTAAAGGGCTGCTGACCCGTAAGGTGTTGTCCCAGGAGGCGGAGCAGAGCGCCGTGCCGTCGGGCGACACTCTCACTCTGCTGACGCGGTTCTCGTGGCCGAACAGGATGGAAGCACGAGTTCCCTTCAACACGTCCCACACATTGATGGTGTAGTCGTTATATCCAGCGAACAGCAGGCGACCTGTGGGGACGAGGGAGAGAGAGAAATGACATGAAACAGGAAGTGGGACATTTGGAAAAAGGGGAAGTAGAGGCAGAAACCAGGTTTGTTAGGGAAGTTGTGTTATCAAGAACGCAATTTCCTTGAATTACTAAAAATAGCTTCATTTATTTAAAACACTGCATCAGGAATTATTCCCAAAACGTTCCCTTAAAAGGTCTCCTATTATACTGTTTTTCATCAATATATTTTAGGTCTCAGATATATACAAAACATGTCTCTGAAGTGTTTGGCTCCAAATACCAAACCGATCATTGCAGCATCCCATAATCCCCTCTGTTTCAGCCCTGTTTCAAAAGTGCTGATTCTGGGTCTGTTACTTTAGATGAAAAAATCGTTATGACATCATAAAGTGGCCAAAATCTGATCAGCTCATTTTCAGACAGGTTTTTATATAAATGGATCAGGACAAAAAGAGAGAGAATCTTTTTTCCTGAAACTTTCAGAATCTCTTTACACAGAGGGGACACATGCTGATGTAGAAAAGACAGGAAAAAGTGGATTTTGCATAATAGGTGACCTTTAAGATGCTTTATGAGTATTGCATACTTTTTACCACACTACCAATGGATGATTTAGTTTAAAGTGCTTCAGAAAACGTTACCACTCAGAGAGAAGTCCAGAGTGGAGGCTCCAAATATCACGCTGTCCTTCTGATAGACGGCCACCTCACGGTCAGCGCGCAGATCAAAGAAACGACACTGAGAGACGAAAACACAGACAGGACACAAACAGTGATTTCACAGTGGACCTTTCAGTACACAGTAGGTAGTATTAAATAATTATAGCAAAAAGGTCAGTCTGGCATAGGATTATATGAAAATGTCCTGTCACAATTATCCTGGCCAAAATAATTGGGATTTACAATGTTTTCCAATGATCAAAATATATATATCACTTTACTGTATACATTTAAAAAAAAAAACTAGTATTATTAATGGACCACAGATTGGACAGACCACTGTTTAGTAAACTTGAAGGGTGCCCTAGATAAATAAATAAAAATAGCAACATTGTGTGAGTCTGTTCTTTCTTTAAACTAGATCCTTATCAAGATGTTGAGCTATTCTCAACAAATGAGAATATTTAAGATTACCAGGATGAGGAAGTTAACCACAATCAACTTTGTGACTAATTTGTATCTCTATAAGAACAAAAAATCCTATCCCATCCCTAGTCGAGATTACTTTTGAGCATGTCAGTACACGTTGTTGTATTTCTATGTATCTGTTTCTGTTGACAGGTGTTGTTCTGTTAGAGTACTAGACTCCTGGTACTAGGATGGGTTAAAAGCAGAGAACAAATGTCACTGTGTGTGCTGTGTGCTCTGCATGTGTGACCATTAAAGAGGGTTTCAGCCCTCCCAATTCTATTCTATTAATAGGTTCACTGAGTCCACTCCTTAATAAATCCTGATAAGAAACTGGTTCAGACACAATAAATCAATCGAATATCTACACATGCACTGAGGACGTCAATAACGACCTTGTGCGGGACACATATTGACACGAGCAACGGAGACATCACAACAAAGTGATAAACAGGTCGAACAGTTGGACGTGACTCACTGTGGCATCGTCTGAGGCCGAGGCAAAAGCGTCTCCACTCGGGTAATACCTGAACACACAGGAGCGTAGAGTTAGAAATCATGCGTCAGAAAGTATCAACAAATATAACTTCTTCACTACTAGTTACCAATGATTCTAAAAAAAACTGAATTTAGACCGACCGCTACGCAAATACACTATTTTGTTCATTGTCAAAGGTTAAAGGCGTCAACCCCCCCAACCCCCCCCCCATTTTTTATTAATTCACTTTTTCTGTCATTGTTAAAATCACAGTAAATAGTGTTTGAAAAATGTGTTTACTGCATGAAGAAGCCCTCTATATCAAAAATAACATCTTCATTAAAGGTAGGGTAGGTAAGAATGGAGAAACCAGCTCGAGTGCGCTAGAATTTGAAAGTACGCAGCCGAAAAAAATCCTTACAGAGCCCCTCCTCCAACACACACGGACGCGCACATGACCAATGAGGGCACGAGATAAGTTTGTGCACAGATGGAAGGCTGACAGGCAGGTAGGCCATCCAGTTATTTTAGCCGGGCCGGGGGCAGATAATTGGTCGTGCTTTTTACAGTACTACGGCTTCCACAGATGACATTTTTTTATGCATTTATTGTCAAAGTATTTAATATATTCATTGCTATCGGGATGTTAAGAGCATTCCATGGAATATAACAAAAAGTGTTTCTGAAGTGAATTACCTACCCCACCTTTAAGTGAGTATTTCTGCTCAATAAACGTGATGAAAGCTGGTCTTACTCTTATATGGAGCAAGATCAAATCTCCCCAATTGAGAAAAAGGAAAATGTGAATGATGCTCATTTATGTTGCAAGTGTTGGCATATTTGTTCCAAAACGGCATCCATTTATTTTTCCAAAAACTCAGAAAAGCTAAATTTAAAAGTAATTTAGACCAGATTCAATTCAGTTCTCATTTGTTTTAGTATTCAACCTAGTTTTCCTAATTTAAAAACATGATTAAGTCAGGACACTACGGTCTCTCATTTAGTGAAAGACGAATAAATGAAAGGGTAGCAGAGCGCCTCAGATGTATCTATGACGTTGGGCACGTGTGCAGAAACACAGCGGTAAAATGCCCTCTTTCATTGTGCATCCTGATGATCTATGGAGGACTTAAAGGTCTCAATATGTATTAGTAGTAGCAGTACGAACCATGTATGACAACATTTAAATGTTATCTTTATCTCATGTTCCATTAATTGATATATATTTATTTTTTATCAAGGAGCTGCACCCACTTCACACAGTTGATGTCCGATTCGTGGCTCTCAAAAGACTGAACGTTCTGTCCAGAGCGCATGTCCCAGATGTTGGACTTCCTATCAGAGCCCTGATAACACACACACACACACACACACACACACACACACACACACACACACACACACACACACACACACACACACACACACACACACACACACACACACACCACACACACACACACACACACACACACACACACACACACACACACACACACACACACACACACACACACACACACACACACACACACACACACACACACACACACCACACACACACACACACACACACACACACACACACACACACACACACACACACACACACACACCACACACACACACACACACACACACACACACACACACACACACACACACACACACACACACACACACACACATTAGAGGGGACAGATGGATAGATAATTTTTAAAAGCATTTTTCCATGTGATCATGTTGCTCCCTCTCTCTCAGATTAGCATGATCCTCCACCCACTTAACACCAGTACTTATGGTGAAGAGACACGTTTATTTTCTATTGGAAGGACTTCCATCTCAAACGTTTTGATTTATGATGACAAACGTTATTGAAAAACCTAAGATATGAGATTGTATATGCAAAATGTTGGGAGTCCTATTTAAAAAATCTACCTTAGCTCAAACTGCTGATTATTCAAAGAGCATATGCTTGGTACAAATTAGATCCAAGTTTTGTAGACTTTGTCAAATTACTTTATTGTAACCTGTGAGTTCCATGGGTATTACAGTAGGCTATTTTGTACCTTTTGAAATGTTGCTCATTGCTCTATTCTAAAAATCTAGTTTCTTTGAAATATCAGTATCAAACTCTAAATAAGTGTATATATGTAACAGATACAAGGTTTTGCAGCATTACATTATACCAAACAGACACATCCACACACTGTGTCTCTCTCACCCCAGAGACGAAGGTGTTTCCTGTCTCAGACGGAGCGAGGTCCAGGGACAGGACATCAGCTGTGTGACCGTGGAAGCTCTGCAGCAGCTGCCCGCTCTCCACATCCCACAGGGCACATGTGCCGTCACCGCTGGAGGTCAGGAGCTAACACACACACACACACACACACACACACACACACACACACACACACACACACACACACACACACACACACACACACACACACACCACACACACACACACACACACACACACACACACACACACACACACACACACACACACACCACACACACACACACACACACACACACACACACACACACACACACACACACACACACACACAATAAAAAAAGAAAAAGACACATAATGTATTATGTTGGAAACTCCACAAATGAAAGATAATTTCTGGATAAAAAATACATGAATAATAATTCTTAAAAAAAGTATTGTTCATGCTCTGAAATAAAATACATTTCATTGGGGAGATGTAGTAGGATTTATTTTTGTAACAATCACCTACGTAGGTTGTTTGTTCTCTATCTGTATGACTTTGGCTTCAGGCTTTGCTTTCAGTTTTTAATTAGAGCACTTAAAACAGAGAAGTGAAATAGCCAAAAATAAACTTGAAATCAAAATGAGGTTTAGTTTAGGTCATTTTGACCTCACTAGCGCGTTCAAAGGATCACACCAGCGTCATCAACATCCGCTCTTTTCTGAGTGCCGACAGGTCGACTACATCTAATGGCAACATACAGTATATGCACTGAAACCAGAACATGCAAAAGAGCTGAAACCATTATTCACAAATAAAAAAGCCATTTCCTCTTTTCAATACAAAGTGAGAGGATGTTCTGTTTATGGTTATCATAACTCTAATTGTGAACTTACTATAAAATATGCAGGTGCAGACACCACAGTGCAGACACACGCACACACACACGACAGAATCCAAAGGTCAGCTCCTCCTCACTAACAGAAACTGTCACTGTGCCTCGTGTATCCACACACAATGTCTAAATGTCAGCGCCTCCTCTGATGAAAACAGATTATGGGCACTTAGAGACACATGCAGACATCAGAGGTCCCTGCTGCTGCTGGATTAGAGACTCCTGCTGGATGACCTCAGGCACACACACACACACACACACACACACACACACACACCACACACACACACACACACACACACACACACACACACACACACACACACACACACACACACACACACACACACACACACACACACACACCACACACACACACACACACACACACACACACACACACACACACACACACCACACACACACACACACACACACACACACCACACACACACACACACCACACACACACACACACACACACACACACACACACACACACCACATCCTGCCTGCACAGCGAGTGAACTCCAGTTTCAACATGAATGCAATTATCAGTAAGCCACAATTACTGACACACACACACACAGATGGGAACCTCTCTGATATTATAGAGAGCCTTTGCATTGGTCTAATTCTGCCCACCACCACCTGCATGTTACCATATATTAAGTCCTTGCAGGGGGTTCAATAAATTACCCAATGATCCTACTGAACGTGTAAATATTGTTTTTTATAAAAGACTCACAACTCAGTTTGTGAGTTTTGATGCATACGATCTGTTTATCTGACTGAGTGTGCTCCACGTTGCTAGGTGGAACACAAAGATATCACTCAGGGATGCAACTAACACTTATTTTCATTTTCGACAAATCTGCTGAATATTTTCTCTATTTATTGATGCATGGCGATATCTTACATTGTTTTTGTAAGTCCAAAGCTACAATATAATCAATTTAACATGTTAAATTAAACAGGAAAGAAGGCTATCTCCATATTTGAGAGGTACAAAATGAGCATTTTCTGTCAATTTTACATTTTCTTTCTCCTGATTGGTCGACTAATTGTTGCGGCTCCATTTATAAAAACGCAAAACTGTATTGTTTGTAGCCTTTATTTAACCAGGTTAAAAAATCCCATTGAGATCAACGATCTCTTTTTCAAGGGAGACCTGCGGTACATTAGTTACACATAAAAACAACAGAAAACAAAAGGACATCACAACATAATTACAGGGGTATACATTAGCAACCTATTTACAGTGACAGGTATCCAATAACATTTCATCCAGCCGTGCTTTAAAATGATGCAAGGGAATCAAAATGCTCAGTTTCAATGATTTTTGCATGGTGTTCCAAGCTAGAGGAGCAGCGCACATAAAAGCTTTAGTACCTAAAACAGTCCTAGCACTTGGCACATGTAATAAGAACACATCCTGGGATCTCAGGCAATAGCTACTTGCCACTCTCCGTGAGATCAAAGAGCATATATAAGTCGGTAGTTTACCCAGCATGGCTTTATATATGAATATGTACCAATGACTGAGCCTCCGAACAGTAAGTGAAGGCAGACCTGCCTTGGCATACAGGGTACAGTGATGAGTAAGTACTTTACAGTTAGTAACAAATCTCAGAGCACTGTGATAGGCGGCATCTAACCTTTCCAGGCAATGGGCAAGTGCATTCATATATATCAAATCACCATAGTCTAGCACAGGTAAAAAGGTCACAGTGACTAGCCTTTTTCTGGCTTCAAAAGAGAAACAGGACTTGTTTCTGAAAAAGAAACCTAGTCTAACCCTCAGCTTTTTAAGCAGATTAGTGACCTGAAGTTTAAAAGTAAGACAATCATCAAGCCAGATACCAAGGTATTTATAACAGGTAACCACTTGGAGTACTTGTCCTTGCATAGTAACAATATCCAAAGCAGTCTCTTGAGTCTTTTATATGCATTCATAACTCTCCTGTTTGCAGACTTGAAGGCTGCTGGAAAATGTAAGTATAGTGAACACAGTTCTTTATGAGCCCTTCATATAGTCCACAGCCCTGATCTATTTGAATGTAAAGTGTAAGAGCTGTGGGCGTCACAGTGTGCATGCGGTGTGTTTTTGTGTGTGAGACGCACAATGACAGAGACACTCAGGAGGAACACATGCATGTGCGTGTCTGTGTGTTAAATGTTCTGCTCTCAGGCCAGGGTACTCCACTCTTTCCTTGATAAAGGCCTCTTTCTCAGATAAAGACCACTCAGTGTCTAATAATACTCGCAGAGAAGAGGACCCCCCCCCCCCCCCCCACAGCCTCTTTCCTGCCACCCCCCAGCCCTGGCACCCATCTCCCCCTCCTCACTCGTTGTGCTCCACTATCTTGTTAACGGCCGGAGGGGAGTAAATGACTAAAGTCAAATATCCGGGCCGCTTCTTTCATGCTCTCCCTTGAGAATGTCCTTTGCTGTCAGGGAGTACAAGGCACAGCCAACAAAGAATACATTTGGACTCCTTAACCTTTAAATAGGAACCGTACAAAAAATGACTCAACAGAATACTAATCCTTAAATACAGTGTAAATATATTATTCATAGTTTTAAAGATTTTTCGGATGATATATATTATTATTGGATGACTCAAATATAAGAATTGGGGAGGAAACAAATAACAAATGGCTCTAATGGTATGAATCCTGCTTAGAGTGTGAGAGGTTGTCGGTTCAAATCACTTTACTGTGGTTTGTTTTCTGTTAGTTAAAGTTACCAGTACAGTAAGGCTGCTTTGGGTTTTAAGACGCTTGATATTAATGATTTAACAACTGCAAAAAGAGCATTCCAGGGCAAAACGTAGCAAATATAAAGAGTAGATTTACCAACCATATCTCTCAGATTCAAGTGAATTTTAGTTCTTCTTATAAATACAAAAAATAAACTATGCAGAATGTATTTAGAATCAAATTTTTCAGTTCCACTTAAAACCACTTAAAGGTCCCCTATTATACTGTTTTTCATCAATATATTATAGGTCTCAGATATATACAAACATGTCTCTGAAGTGTTTGGCTCCAAACACCAAACAGATCATTGCAGCATCCCACAATCCCCTCTGTTTCAGCCCTGTTTCAAAAGTGCTGATTCTCTGTCTGTTACTTTAGATGAAAATAAGGAGCCCCTCCCCACGCCCCTCTGAGAGATATTTGGTTAAAAAGAACTCAATGGTGCTCAAGGAGGAGATTCAGGTGATAAGGTGGTGGGGGTTACCTTGGTTGGTGATTGGCTAATGGTTACAGAAGCCAACAAATCGTTATGACATCATAAAGTGGCCAAAATCTGATCAGCTCATTTTCAGACAGGTTTTTATATAAATGGATCAGGACAAAAAGTGAGAGAATCTTTTTTCCTGAAACGTTCAGAATCTCTTCAAACAGAGGGGACACATGTTTATGTATAAAAGACATGAAAAGGTGGATTTTGTATAATAGGTGACCTTTAAAATACATTACAAAAGTTTAACCCATAAAATGCCCTTGTGTCCAGTTTCTCACAAAGCAGTGAAGAGGGGCTCACCTGCATGTCGGAGCTGGTGAAGGTGCATCCTGAGACGTAGTTGGTGTGCATGGCGACAGACTTCTTCTTTGCATTCAAGTTCTCGCTTTTGTCCAGCGACAGCGGGAACACTGAGCACTTGTTATCCAATCCACTGTTAAAGGAGATAAAAACATTAGAGGTTAGATGAAAGGGCATTCACTTTTTAGTTTAAATCTTAAAACAACACTAATTACACGGGGGTTTTTTATGGTAATGATGGATATAGTCTTATTGATCTGAGATAGACATAGAAATCAGAGGTTACAAACAATAGGCGCTTTCACACCAAGTACTTTTCCCAGGAATAGTTCCCGGGAACTTTTATTTCCTGGAACTATCTAGTAAATCACGTTCACACCAGAATAAGTCCCTGAGGGAGCCGCTGACGTCACTTCTTCTTCTGCTTTGGGTTTACTGGCAGGCCGCAAACAACTTCACGGTGTATACTGCCACCCGAAGTCCCCGGCCGGAAGTCCCCGGAGTTGGGGACTGGCTTCAGTAGAAGCTGCTGGGACTCCAGCAATTTGAAAATACACAACCGGAGAAAATCTGCCACTTCCTTATAGAGCCCCTCCTCCAACACACACGAACGCGCACATGACCAATGAGGGCACGAGAAAATTTTGTGCACAGATGGAAGGCTGACAGGCAGGTAGGCCATCCAGTTATTTTAGCCGGGCCGGCTAAAATGATTGGTCGTGCTTTTTACAGTACTACGGCTTCCACAGATGAAATTTTTTTATGGATTTTTTGTCAAAGCACTTAAGATATTCATTGCTATCTGGATGTTAAGAGCATTCCATGGAATATAACAAAAAGTGTATCTCGAGCCGGTTTCTCAAACTTACCTACCCTACCTTTAAGTACAGTGAACAAAACATATTCCCAGTATAGGATATATTCACTGCTGCTGAGCAACAACAGTAGCATTCACCAGAAATTGTAAAATTAGGTTATATTATACAACACATTAGTGTGAAGTCATTGAAAGGGCAACCAGGGTCATGTCAAGTTTTGATGCTTTTGCAGAGTAACACTTGACTCCAATAAGCTAACATATCCAGAATATATATAATTCCACGTTCATATAAATAACTTTGTATTAAAACAATACAGATATATTTTTTTTCTCAACAGTTTATTGAATGCAGACAATAAAAAGAGACGTTTTCTGTACTCACCCACATGCCACAGCACAACCAGAGGGGGCATACGCACACGCCATTACCCATGTACACGGCAGGTTCAGACCGTGTTCCTGTAACACACACACACACACACACACACACACACACACACACACACACACACACACACACACACACACACACACACACACACACACACACACACACACACACACACACACACACACACACACACACACACACACACACACACACACACACACACACACACACACACACACACACACACACACACACACACACACACACACACACACACACACACACACACACACACACACACACACACACACACACACACACACACACACACACACACACACACACACACACATTACAGGGGACAGATGGATAGATAATTTTTAAAAGCATTTTTCCATGTGATCATGTTGCTCCCTCTCTCTCAGATTAGCATGATCCTCCACCCACTTAACACCAGTACTTATGGTGAAGAGACACGTTTATTTTCTATTGGAAGGACTTCCATCTCAAACATTTTGATTTATGATGACAAACGTTATTGAAAAACCTAAGATATGAGATTGTATATGCAACATTGTGTGAGTCCTATTGTAGTTAAAACATCTACCTAAGCTCCAACTATTGAAAGAGCATATGGTTGGTAAAAATTAGATCCAAGTTTTGTAGACTTTGTCAAATTACTTTATTGTAACCTGTAAGTTCCATGGGTATTGCAGTAGGCTATTTTGTACCTTTTGAAATATCAAATGGACATAGAGGTAAAACTGTAACAAGGTTGGTAGCATCAGTAAATCATTCAATATTGCAAAAAAAATCTTTTAATTATTCTTTTAAGAAAAAACTTGAGCTTTTGATATTTAGCTCTTTAATTAATAGAAGTTATTATACAAAGGAAGTCCCACACCCATCCACACAAAAGCACCACACAGACGTCTACTCACCTTATTCAGAGTGAATGCATCCCAGACAATCACTTTGCCATCCTAGATAAGAGAAGAAAATCCATATTAAAAAATGTAAGAAAGTCTTACAGCCTAAAATGAACATGTGTGTGTGCAGGAGTGTGTGTGTTTACCTGTGAAGAGCTGACTATCCGACGTTTGTCTTTACACCAGTCCATGCACAGCACCTTGTTCCCGTGACCCTTCAGCACACGTCTGGTCTTTATGGCGAGAGCGCCCAGCACCTCCACCTTCTCTGCCACCTGGTTCACTGAAGAAACAGAGCTTCATTCAATACCTTACTATAGTACACATACAGAAATATCATCAGTAAACTCAAAGTGTCTGTCTGTGTTAAACAGAGGTGGGAAGTGTTGGGGAACAATTTGCCCTGCATGTCCTCCTTCGCCCTCTGACGCAGCTGACCAACCTTGAGGAGCCGCTATCTCCCATAAGGAGGGGCTGCCCTAGCATTTTGTTGTTGTTACCAGTTTATGACCGGGCAACTCTCGGTGAGAGATAGTTATTGTTGTGGGACACCTGGAACACATCCTTCTCGGGGTGTAGATGACCCCGAGCCATAAGCGACAACAAATGTGATTCAGTGTCCCTCAGCTTTTTAGTCTATCGATTGAAGAATGTTGATTATTACACTCTGAACTAGTTAAAACATTGAACTACAGAAGGGTTCTTCAGAATTGATTGTGGCATCTCAACCGTGTGGTCAACTCGTGGCCCGTGATATGTCTTGTGAATTCTCCGGCCGAAGCTCCAAATAAACCGTCAGTGTTTGCCATCAAAGCTCCAGCTCTCCTCGTGTCTCTCTGAGTCCTGACTCCAATTGCTTCAGAAGTTTCCCCCACAGGAAGTAGTGGAGTACAAATACTTCGTTACTGTACTTAAGTCCATTTTTCTGGTATCGGTACTTTACTCCACTACTTATTTTTCTGACGACTTTTTACTTTTACTTCTTACATTTTCCAAACAGGCTTGTTACTTTAGTTTGAATGTGTGTTTGGTGGCGTTATTATTATTTAGAGTCATTGCGTGCCTGTTGATTTGAACACGATCCGTGTATCCATCCACTTTGTCATGGTGCCGTTGTTCAGCATGGAAAAATTCAATAGCTAACAATGACATTATTGTTCTATTAATATAAAGGGAGGTCAGGTACTCTTTAAAACAGCTGGTAGTTATGGGTACTTTTTACTGAAGTACATTTCAAAGCCTCTTTACTTTTACTTGAGTAAAGAAGTTTAGTCAGTACTTCTACTTTTACCAGAGTATTTTTAAACACGAGTATCTGTACTTCTACTTGAGTAAAGGATGTGGGTACTTTTGCCTTCTCTGGTGTTAAATCATTTTATAAGATGCTACATTTATAGTAAAGATGTTTGAACGTGTTAGCAGCATATAATGTCTCTGCGTACAGTAGAAGCTAATTTGAACTATTTTCTAAACAGCAGGCAGGCTAATCTTTGAAAAAAACATGATCTTTCAAAGGTTTTGTGTGTAAAGTAGTTGTTCTGAAAAGTAAATAGTTCAAAGTTAAATATATGCATACTGCTTGTATTATTCATATTAATCACTTTCAGTTGCTTTTATTTAACTATACATACTATTTCATATTATTTATTGTTATTTTTAAGTGTTTTATTTACCCATCTTCACATTTATAATGGTTTTTGTTTTATACATGTATTCAATTTACTGTATTGCTTAGCGATGTAAACAAAACACAAGGCTCCATGATAGAAATAATCTAAATCTTACTAAGAATAACAGCAATTATCATCAGCAAACTCAAAGTATGACTGCTAAATGGTGTCTTCCTGTGCTTCATCATTTTATAAGATGATACATTTATAGTAGAGATGTTTAAACGTGTTAGCAGCATTTAATGTCTCTGCGTAGAAGCTTATTTGACCTACGTTATATGCCAGGCAGGCTTCTGATAGCAAATAAAGATAGGAACACTTATTCTAGGGAGTATATGGAGACCTTCTGTTCCTGCTTCAGTATTAAATGTGCACATGCTGCAAATATGGGTACTGATTTTAATATTATTATCTGTTTAAACCTATTTTTATGTTATTTCTAAGTGTTTTATTTTCCATTCTGGCTTTCTATTCATGTTTTAATTAATACATTTATGTATCCTATGTCCATTTTACTTCATTGTTTAGCATTTATTGCACGTAAAGAGCTATACAAATACATATTATAATAACAAAAAATACTTCAAAATCTTGCAGAAGCATTTAACAGTTCTTAAGTTATTATATTTAGTTAAACATCCCACCACGATTGTGCACAATCTAATCCTCATCACTAAACAGACACAAAAAGGCTATACTTAAAATAAGAGCATGCCGTTAGCTTTTTATGTAAACAAAACCTAATGCTACATGTTAAAACGAAGAGTTATGCGGTTTTAGGTGCAGTGTACAGCAGGAGTAAAGGTAGTTTTTATCGGGCACTCACACTCGATGTCGCTGAGCTTCCCCCGCTCCTCCTCGAGCTTCTTCTTCAGAGTCTCGCTCTCCTTCTTCAGGCTCGCGACCGACTCTCCCGCCGTGAGCCCCGCGCAGGCCATCTTTGAGAGAAACAACGCACACTGTTAGAGGGAGACGACGAGGGAGACGAAGGGTGGAGAAACTCTGCAGAAACAGCCAAATGTGACGAATGCTTTTTAAGGGATTTGGAAAGATTCGCCTAGAGACTGTGATGCTGCGCCGGCCGCGCGTGTCACTCTCTCTGACAGCTCGCGCTCTGTTACAGTCTCCCCCCCTCCTCCTCCCTCCTCCTCCCCCTCTATCCTCCATCCTCCACATTCAGATACATTAACAGGCACCACACGCATTTGGAGACACTGCTGCAGCATTGGTCTTCCACATTATCCCAAAATTAAATCATTTTATGTATGTATCGCTTTTCTGACCATTGAGCATAATCATATAGCCTTTTTAAAATTATTTTTAAGTCTTACACCCCACTGCTGTGTTTCGTAAATTGTAGCAATTGTACTAATTGTGTGTGAACCAATCTTTAGTTATATACATGTCAAAAAAGTTGTTATACTGTGCCACATTAATATTGACAAACATATCAAACAAATACATTGTGATTATTATAATTTAAAACAGAGATTACATTTTTGCTCACTAATGAAATTGCATAATTATCAAGTTGCCCTTTTCTGCAGGTAAGGATTTCAACTGTAGCATTTTGTGTGAAATTAAAATCATTAATGCATTGATACAAACAAATAGTTCCTTCCAAAGTAAAGCATATTTATATTTGATTGACAATAATGTCAAAGGGATTATTATTTAATTAAATCTAAAATACCTTTGACAGAGAACACATTGTCTGCATTTGTAGATTTAAAGTTTATCTTCAAATGATGAGGAATTTTAATCACAATTATTATGTAACTTGCTATTTTTCTACAGCTATTCCACACTTCAATCAATTTTCTTTGAGGTAGCACCCAGTAAGTTGTTGACAAAAACACAGATCAGGAAATCAGTTCATTCTCATCATTGCCCAATACTCACAAAATACAACTTGTTGAGCTGGGAAAATGTAATGAGATGCAAATGCTTGCCTCATGTACAAAATAATACACAGCCTTACCTCACCTCCGCTCAGACATTTTATCACCATACGCACACCTGTAACTAGGTCAACAAGAGCTGCAACAAGAGGAGATTGCGTTGTTCCATTAAGGAAGAGTTCATTCAGCCAATCTTCCTTTTCTTTTAAAGCTGCACAACAGTGGAACTCAGTCCCAGTAACGATTAGAGAACAAAACACCTGCAGTTTATTCAAATCTCATTTAAAAACATGGTTAGTGGAAAATCAGCTCTGTCAACACTGACACAATCTGCACTTTACAACGCTCCGTTTGTACACATGTGCCTTGACCTGTTGCTATCTGTGTGCTTTGGGAATATGTATTTTCGTTTTGTTTTTATGTTTTTATAGATGCTTTTATCATAATATAAGCATCTATGTTGAATGTTATTTTACTGATTGTATTTACTTGTCATTTGAAGTGACGTTTTTTTTTAGGATAACTTTCAACATCTGTCCAGGGACTGCAGATGAAAAATAGCCTGTTGGCTAACTCTGGCGCATTTACAGAAATGTTAATCAATGTGCACTGTCCCTGTCAAATAAATAAATAAAAAAGGAGGGGGTTCAATAGCATGCATCTCTCTCTTCAAGGACCCCATGACTTCCTGTGTGACTGTGTTTGAGTGTGGGTGTGTTGAAGCGACACTAAAACAGCTGCATGTCAAAAGGTGCTGCTGAGCGTCAGTGCAAAGTGTTAGTGTGATCCTCATCAAGTAAAGATACCCTTCAAGTGTAGAAGCTTTGCAACTGCATGCCTTACATATTGCTGTTATACCATTATGTTCATGTGTAAACATAAAAGCACGATGCAGGTATTTTAGGGACAAAGGGTTGGGTTTGTAGGGATTTCATCTATTTTACCCACTTTTCAGTAAATACATATCTTCTTATAATTACATCCAAAGCAGTGTTAGAGGCACTGCATACATTGGTCCAATCTGCAATGAATTGGCAGCTGATGAGAAACCTAAAGGAAAACGTACCACTTCCACGCAGAAGGAGCAGTAGTTGATGGCCTCGGTCTTAATGTAGATGTTCATGAGAGGACTGGCTTTCCCGCAGCACTCGCAGGGGCCAAAGGTGGCCGCCACGAACGTCTGGTCACACATGGCTGCAGATGATCAGCAACACACCCTGTGGAGAGAACACAACACACACACACACACCCACACACACACACACACACACACACACCACACACACACACACACACACACACACACACACACACACACACACACACACACACACACACACACACACACCACACACACACACCACACACAAACACACACACACCACACACACACACACACACACACACACACACAACACACACACACACACACACACACACACACACACACACACACAAGTTTATTCAGGCTCTTGAATTCAGCACCCTGCAGTGATCACTTTGTGTGTGTGTGTGTGGTGTGTTGCTGTGTGTGTGTGGTGTGTGTGTGTGTGTGTGTGTGTGTGTGTGTGTGTGTGTGTGTGTGTGTGTGTGTGTGTGTGTGTGTGTGTGTGTGTGTGTGTGTGTGTGTGTGCATGTGTGTTTGTTATGAGATAAGAAGTTGGTAATCTACCCGGTCTGATCCCTCTGAGCTCCAGAGGAAAGTAGTGCAGCACAGCTATTCTGGGAACTGCACACGTCCAGTTCACTCTTAAAAGTATAACAGAGTCTAAAACCAAATTACAAATGTACATGCACCGTACCATTAATTGGAGCTGTAACTTGTTTTATAATTGTAATTTCCCCAAATATAAAGCAACATTAGCAATTTGAACTCAAACGTATCAATGACTCTTGACTATCAATGCTTACAACTAAATTCAACCTTTAGGGTCACGTTAAATAAACAATATTTGACCTTTCTTCTATGTTAATTGATTAGTTTGTGGTCTTGCTCAATGGTGATGTCTTTAAATTACTTGTCTCTTTTTCCCTCCAAAAACGCAAAGATGATCAGTTTAATATGATATAAAACATAAGCTGAAAACTATTTTGTTCTGCCATTTCTGCAAACAAAATGACTTTTGTACGTCTCTTGTTTGTTTTTTGATGGCACCTTAAAAAAAGGAGTAGCTCTACTCATCTCATTGTACCTATATAATGACAATAAAGGACTCTATTCTAGTCTATTCTATTTAATGAGTACTCAATTATAAAATGTTTATTATTTCTACAGCTCCGAACATAAGTGACAGTTGACAGGCTGTTATTGAGGTAATCGTCATATTGTTTTTGTACACAATTATACAGAAAATACGTTTGCAAAAATATGCCAAACTCATTCAGGCAGTTCTATCATAAGATTATAACTCGACTGCACAGCAGATTACATCACATCAATCCAAATGTAAACACAACACACACCAACATTATTTCCACAAAAAGCAGCCATATCAATGATAACATCTTACCTTACAAGAGAATATGTTCCTCTTCTGTGCAGTAGGTATTTGCCCGTGGAGAACTAAGTTGAGTTTTCCAGTGAAGAGGATTGTCAGAGAGCAGTAAGCTTCTTAGTTTAGTGTTTAAGCTGCGACTCTGCAGCATTACCTGCCAGGCCCGCAAAATTACATTTACAGCCTAATCCTGTACAGATTATACATTTAATTGAAAAAACAAACAACTTGAAACTGGCTGATGTTACATTGCACAATACATCACTTCCTTTTTTGTAATACAAACTAGAAATGAATTGCTTGTGAAATCTGAAATAAATGTGGATATTGTATTCATGTTATGAGACAGTCGTATACAATGTTCCATGTTGTTTTCAGATGTGTTGTTAGAGCCATTTTTTGTGTTGATAATAAATGTATTATTTTCGAATTAATTTAGATCTTAATATATTCTTTCGATTTATGAATTAGTATTGAATGAAATATTCAGTGAATAGTTTTGATTTATTGTGATCAATCAGCTGCTATATAAGGATGGGGTGGGACCGGGTGGGACTGAGCCTCAGCGGAAATTGTCTCCAGCACGGAATGGGGAATCGGTACAGTCCTTGACCTCACGTTACACTGATCATTTTTGTTTAATTCAATGGAAGAAGTAAATAAATCCGCCAGAGGAAGGCAAAGAAATCAGCGCCTACAGAGTTTTATTTGGACTGTTTTTAACGTGCGAGTCAAGAAGCGGAGCCCTGTTAATGTGGCACAGTTTTAAATATCCTACAAGAACGAGCCACAACATGTGTACTCCCATTAAATGTAATCTATTACATGAAGCTCTGATTATCTGCAGTCTTGTGTGGTCAGTGAAAGAAAACAAAAACATTTTAAGGAAATAAAGTCAACACAAAGCTTTTCAAATGCTGCCAATGCAGTTCATTTAACTCACTTGTTTGTACTACTCAAGGAATCACATTTTCTGAACAAGGCCTGTTACGTGCCGCAGTTGGTGCTTTTGTGTGTGTGCTTTTGTGTGTGTGTGTCTCTCTCTCCCTGATTGTCTCCAGGTGCAGCCTCTCCCCCAGGTGCTCCCAATGCCCAATCAGGGCCTCCTTAAAGGACCTGAGGAAGGATGCAGTGGCCTCTCTCCTTCTCCTCTGGCTGCATGTGTGCAGCATGTCTCTGTCTCTGTGTGAGGCCTGTGTTCTTGTGAATTGTTAGGAAATGTGCTCCAGTTTACCTTTTTGTGTATTTTAGTTTGTTTTGCAAGTTGGCTGTTGAGCCCTTTTTCTTTTGTCCATTAAAACCTCACTTTGTGGCTTCAGTAGACAGTTTCCTCTCCTCTTTCTCTCGCCCGGTTATTTAGGTGTTTTGTCACTTCCCTTTGTACCCCTAGTTTAGGAGGGAACGTAACACATGGGGGCTCGTCCGGGATATTTGAGACAAGGAGTGAGTATTTGTTTGTTGTGTAGTGTTGATATTGTCTTTAGTGGTGAGCAGTAGTGTATATAATTGTAGCATTGGCTGTGAAGTATCTTACTGTTGAACAGCTTCCTCAGTTTAGATAGGGGAGTGTCTAGCTGGGCTGAATCAGTCCTTCCTTCAGGCACTCATTATTTTGCCTTTTTTATATTCGGGGTAAGGTGGGGATTTAGTCCCTGTTGGGGGCAGGCGTTTCAGGGTTTCGGCCGCTGATGTTTGCCTTTTAAAGTCGCCTCGAGCCCGGCACGCTCCAGAAGATAGGTAGGTAAGTTTGTGGTAGGCAGGATCTGGGGAAGTTTGTTATTTGAAAGAGTCGATGTTTGTGTAGCATCAGATATATTTGCCTGTTGAGTGAGGTGATTTAATTGTAGCTGGTGAGTAGTTGCAAGTAAGCTGTACGTCTATGGTGGTAGACTAGTGCAGTAGTGTGAGTGTTGAAAATGAGTTTGTGTTTAGTATGGCCTCCCTTGTGTTGGGTGAGTCCTCTAATACTGGTTCTAAATGAGATGCCAGGTTGAAAGTGAGGTTAGCTCGTCTACAGTGGGAGAAGGAGGAGCGAGAGTTTCAGCTCAGGAGGGAGCTGGAGATCAGAAAGTTAGATGCAGACACAGCTTTCAGGATGCGTCAGCTAGAGCTGCAGACAGGTTCAGTTGGTACCTCTTCAGGTACACAACCATTGTCAGGTTCTGCTGCTGCTTTTGATGTTGGTAGCAACATTCAGCTGGTGCCTGTCTTTCGTGAGTCAGAAGTGGAGACCTTCTTTGGTGCATTTGAGCGCATTGCTGCTGCTCTGCGCTGGCCAAAAGATGTGTGGGCCTACTTGTACAGTGCAAGCTAGTCGGCAAGGCTCAGGAGGCTTGCTCTTCTCTTTCTGTCGAGGATTGTATGGTGTATGACAATGTGAAAGGTGCTGTTCTCAGGGCGTTTCAGCTTGTGCCTGAGGCCTACAGGCAGCGTTTCTGCGGCCTGAAGAAAACTTCTGGCCAGACTTATGTGGACTTCGCGAGGGAGAAGAAAATCCTCTTTGACAGGTGGTGTAGAGCTTGTAAAGCTGATGACATTACCTCAATGTGTGAACTAATGATGCTGGAGGAATTTAAAAACTGTGTTCCAGAGCCTACTGTAGTTCATTTAAATGAGCAATTTTATTATTTTTGCTTCGCTGTTGAGCCCTTTTTCTTTTGTCCATTAAAACCTCACTTTGTGGCTTCAGTAGACAGTTTCCTCTCCTTTTTCTCTCGCCCGGTTATTTTGGTGTTTTGTCACTTCCCTTTGTACCCCTAGTTTAGGAGGGAACGTAACAAGGCCCCATTAGGACATCACTATGTTACACTTGTGCTTCTATTGGATACCACGCAAACACATTGTACGTGTTAAGTTAAAGGGCGGGACATCTAAAGGCGGTTAACCAATCACAACAGAGCCGGCCAGTTAACCAGAGCAGACTGAGCTCTGGTTTCAGACAGAGGGTGAAAAGAGGTGCTAGGCAGTATGAGAAAAATAAAGACCTTTTTAGAACATGAAAGCACAGACATGTCACAGTAGAGACACAATAGGGCCCCTTTTAAAAGTTGTTTTACAAGATTTAAAAACTAGAAAAAAAAAACTGAAATAATCAGACAAACCAACAGTGCTGTATTCTTTTATTTTACTTTTACAGATTTGACAATTTATTCCAAGTTTCTTAACGGTGAACACATTCACTAAGCACAGCTACCAGAAACTACAAACAGTCCAGTTTGTCAAATGTACACATGGGTCAGAGAGGAAACATCTGGTACCAGCGTGTTCACACCGGTACCACGACAGCTGAGGTGATGATTTATGATCGTTTTTAACAATATTTAAAATGGCACAATCAACGCTAGTGCTGATAAGAACAATGGTCATTTATAATGTCTACGTCGTATCGTACAACCAACTCTCCCCTTCGTGTAAAAACGCAGAGTGAAGGAATGACACTTATTTCAGTTTGACAGCCCAAGAGAAGCCCAGGGAAACAACGCTGCTCAACAATACAAACACATGAATGCAAATGTGTTCTAACTCTCCTCTGAAACTATTCTTAATATATCAGACGACAAGGATAGTCTGAGCAAGTGTGAGAAAGCTGGTGCTGCATCCACACAAATCACAAGTGTCTTCCTTCCTGTGGCTTGCAATATTTCATAGTCTGAATAAAACTGCAAAAAGAAATCACTGATTAAGGAAGTGAAGCGCACACTCGCGTAGGGAATGTGGCAGAGGAAGCTTAATGGGTTGCAGTTCAGCAGGAAGGTGTTGGGAGTGTTTCTTTTTACAGTCCTTGTCAATCTATTATGTATCTGTCTTCCTCAGCAATGTCTAAAAAATGCATTTTGGACTAATGGCAAAACAGTGCAACCCTGTGGCAATAACTGTTGACCAAAAGGACACCTTATCAGAACAAAATATCACATTTAATATTAATTTTACAGTGGAAAAAAACCCTGGACTGACAATGACGATCGTGTGTTTTAGTCACTCAGATGGCAAATATTCAGATAAGGCTTTGCCCAAAGATGTGCAGCTAAAACACTTCATTAACAACTTGAAACATTCATATGTTAAATAAATTCCTTCCAGTTACCGTCTTACTTGCAACAGATATGTACTCTTTACACAAAGCATACTTGAAACCACCTAATAATGTAACAAAAAGGCAGATTGATAACATGTGGTCCCAATGAGAGCATATTCAATTATTCTCAAATACAAGTGCAACACAAACTTCACACACTAACTTCTCTTTACTCCACTTACAATTTTGAAGATGTTTAAATATGTATATTTCTCAGCATGTACTGTAGCTGTACTAGAGCAAGTTCACGGATATTTCAAATGCAAAACACATTTGGTTGAATGTTGGTTGGTTTTAGAAGAAACAAAACATAACAAATAAAACGTACCGAGTTCAGTTTTTGGAGACGATTCACAACCTCCTATATATTTAAGCACCTTAAAAAAAAACATTCTATCAAAGTGAAATATGTTTGTGAAAGGCCTTTAGGACAAAGTAAGGTTCACATGAGGGTAAGAGGCAAATTGGGTTGGCTGTTAATACTAATGGCACAACAGGAAGTAAACGGGGAAAAAAAGTGCTAAACACGAGGCAGCGAGGACAATGTGAACGCAGACAAAACACTTTCTGTAACAACATGGGCAGATTCCCTCACTCTCCAATCAGAAGACTACATCGATGTTTCTTTGTAGAAGAAAACAAAAAAACAATAGTGTGACATTGTATTTCTACCTACTAGTAAAGCAAAGCCCATGCTGGTTGTATGAGGGCAGCAGCAGCAATGTATCCATACTGAGTTATAGCGGGTGAGGTGTAATATCACAGTTGAAGGAAAGTCCTAAATATGACTGATATCTGGACCAAAACATATTGTGCACCAAAAAGAAAAATATATTTCTGTCAGTAAACCCTTAATTTAACCCTGCAGTGCAATTTGAATGGATAACAGCTGCACCTATTCTGTTGTTTTTGGTAATAAAAGGCCCATGTTGTGTTGTCTTGGCCGCTGAACAGGAAGGCATAGGACGGACATGAATGAAAAGAGGAGAGGAATCGACATCCAAAGCTGCGGTTTGTGGTCTTTGTGGGAATAAAGCAGATACAAATGTTGTAAAGATGGACATATCCAAGACAAACTCCCAAGAGACCTTCTCTGTCCTCTCTGCTCAGTGATACATGGCTTCTTCACGATATACACAACAGAAAATGATAATACTGAAATAAATAGTTCCACGTTGATAATAACAAAACAGGCTTTGACCAGAGAAGACGAGAAGAGAGAGTAAAGCGTACGCAGTGCAACCCCCCCCCTCCCCCCTTCGGTGATTCAGCAGTGTGTGTGTGTGTGTGAGAGAGAGAGTGACTTCATATCTTTGTGCCAGTGTTTTCTCTGAGCTCTGGTCACAGCTGTAAACAGTACAGACTGCAGCAGGTTAAACCCTTATCAAAGCTTCAACTTTCTAAATCTCTCCTCAGTTAAAACCCGTGCTACACTTCATCTGCAGGAAATGCAGGGTAAACATGGTAATGCGACAGTTAAGTTAAGACTTGACCTAAAAAATAATCATCTCTGCTGGCACTACTTAAACTACACTACATCATTTACCTGATAGACGTAAATATCTTTCAATGGAGGTGATTATCTCGGGAATCCTATCCTTCATATACCGGAGGAGAAAGCTTCTAATCTAAAAAAGGGAGGGTAGGGACGGAGTTAAATGCAATAAATAAAATACATGATATATATATTATTCATATTTATATATGTATAAATTATATAGTACAGATGATGAGATCTGTCTTGTCTTGACTGTTTTCAGAGAGGAAGCCCGGTCCAGGTTACCTCAACATGGGGGTGGAGAGAGCTAACTTTAGCATGGCTATCACTCATAAAGCTTCATATGCGGACTCAAAACTCACTTTGAGACCCGACATACCAACCTCATCAAGTTACTTTCTTTCTGAGGACTCTACTCCTTCTTTGTGTGGCGATATGTTACATTCTCTCCGGAGAACGACACGATGACGAGATCTTACAGCGAGTTTACACACAGATCTGGAAGCTGGGGTCCACTAAGACGGACTCCATGGAGCGCGAGGAGGCATTGATATGGCCCTGTGGCTTCTCTAAGAGGCAAGCAATTTTACAAGCAGTGGATGATGACATTTAAACCAGCGAGTGCATCCGTGCGTTTTGTGAGACAGAAGTGAAGGCGTGCATGTGTACGTTCAGAGGATGTATGTTTTGTACAGATGCATGTTTAGAGTTCAGCATGTGGTTGTGTTTGAGGGGTTCATTTATGTGTGTCAGTATCCAGATTCAGACCAGCAATTCTTCACTGGAAACCGTGTTTTGAATTAGAAGCTTTTTTTTTTTAGACATAACTGCTCAAATCGTGTTCATTTATTATTTTTTTATCTCTCTTGATGATTGGGTACTACATCATATTCTCCGCCCTCCTGTTGGGTTTAGACTCGTGTGAGGAAGGCCAGGTTGAGAGAGCCGGGGATCTGGATGGTTTCCAGGGCGAGGGAGGACGGGCTGAACGGGAAGGTGACCGGGTAAATCATCTTGGTGTCCATCAACAACTGGGGACTCTCACAACGGTCGCGCAAACGAGTCTGAATGGAAAAATAAGAGAGCACAGGAATAGCAGGGAATTAGATCATATGCACTCACATTTATACAGAGATATTCTTAATAGGGTTCAGTGCGTCAGGGGACTGTTCCAGTGGTTTTGCACTTTCTAGTGCTTTGCATAGTTGCTAGGCAGTCACCTTGCAACTTTTCTTTTGTTATTCCTTGCATTTAACAATAATAAGTTGATGTTTGTACCCAGTGATAACTTGGAACGTAGAAAAGTGAAGTGAAAAAGCAGTAAACACAACGCTCTGCCAATTTTGTAGCAAGTGCAAATGAATTAGCAACAGTGCTAAAGTGTTGTCCATTTGCCACATGAAGGCTGAAGTTACTTACTATCAAACTAAAAGGAACATTACTAGATTGGCGTTTTCCTGATTTTAAAATAGTACATGTACAGAAAACCGTTTTGTATTAATACTGCACGAGTGAATCACCTGTATGGTTCGTATGAATGAAACCGATACCCTCTCCTCAAACTCGTTGACTGGAGTGTAGAGGTTCAGGACCTTCACAATCTGAAAGAGACAAAACACAGACAGTTACAAACACATTTCTTAGCGTTCAGACGGACAGAGACATCTTGTCTGGTTTCTCTGAATGCAGTGTTGTAGGACAGTGTACCTGAGCCGTGGTGAGGGCCAAGCACATGGAGCAGATGGCCTCGGCGTCCTCGTCCGTCTTCTTCTTGACCTGCAGCAGCTGAGCGGCCTGGATCAGAGGCTCCAGCGTCTCCTTCGCCCCGCACACCATCAGACCTTTGTCTCTGAGCCACTCCTCCAGCTGGCTCACGTTGTACCTGCAAACACACACACACACACACACACGATTACATTACAATACATTTTATTTAGCTCATGCTTAAGTGACTTATGATAAGCGCAATCAACCAAAAGCATAACATTCCTAACACCAAGAAAAACTGGCTCAACAATCACAAACTACATTGTTTAAATGATTGATGGTAATAAAAACTGAATGTTACTTTTTGTAATAACAAAATATTGTGAAAAGAGAAATGATGCATATCGAGTACTATTACTTTTGATACATTTTGCTGATAAAACTTCTGTACTTCCACAAAAGTAACTTTTTCAGTTCAGGAATGATCAGAATCAGAATCCAGTTTATTGCCAGGTGCGTTTACACATACAAGGAATTTGCTTTGGTATCTGGTGGTGCGAACTTAAACAATCAAAAAAGATAAGTTGCAAAGTAGGTAAAATAAAGAAATCATTGTAATAACTTGTATACTTTTAAGTCAGAGTACTTCTTGCACTCCTGCTTATATTCCAGAGAAAGCATACTTTTCTACAGTCAAAATGTGAAAACACACCTAAAACAATCTAGACTGAAATATGTATTTTTGAGTTTGGGGTAAACTATCCCTCTAAGTCAGGGGTGTCAAACTCAAGGTTACATGTGGCTTTACAGAAGCATGTTGCCCATAAACTACATATCCCATAATGCATCTTGTTTTGTGACATGCGCACTCAAGAGACTTGCAATTATTTGCCCGAGACTTCTGCTTTCAGACGTGGTTAATTATGAAGTTATTACCCCATCCGATAATAATCCAATGCATATTTATAAAGTCTTAACGTTACAACCGGCCCTTTGAGTGCAACCATAACACTAATGTGGCCCTCGACTAAATTGAGTTCGACACCCTCGCTCTAAGTGTTCACAACACATAAAGCAGAGCAGTCTCCCTCCCAGCAGCCCCTTGTCTCACCTGATCTGCATGCCTTTGCTCCAGGAGCACATGTCCTTGCGCAGCAGCAGGTTGTTGAGGGTGACAGCTCCGATGATGTAGAACTGCTGCTTCACCACCTGCTTCATGAGCTCGGGGTCGGTGCCGTGCTGACACATGGTGGAGTGGAAGGCGCTGAGCTGCCGCAGGATGGAGTCCAGGGTGTACATGCCCTCGTCCGCGATGCTAGATGTCCTCTTACGGAGACCCGTGGGCTTCACCCCCGACACACCCTGGATGGTCTCGTGCTCCAGCATGCCAGACACTGCAGGGAACACACACAGGTACTTTACTGTAAGTACTTGTACTATTGCCTTCAACTGCTACTCCTCTAAACCCCCGACCCTATTCTAAACTTAGCACTTTTTACTTAAAGGGCACCTATCATGCAAAATGCACTTTTGTACGTCTTTTATACATGAATATGTGTCCCCGGTGTTCCAGGGAACTCACCAAGTGTCAGAAAACACAACCCTCTCTATTTTCCTCCATACCCAAATCTCTAAAAAAGGGGCTGCAACGGATCTGATAAAAAACTGATCCAGATTTGAACACTGTCCTGACGTCAGGACAGTGGCGCTACGGCTATTGGGCCAACTCCACCAATCAGGAGGAGACAGCCACGGCCATTGCCGTTCGAAAGCGCTGGAGACGCTGTAGTACATATGCTAGGCCAGTAGATGGTGCTGTTCTCACAGAATCAGCCCTTGCAGAGCAGAGCTAAAAAAAAGTGCAAATTGAGCAAAATGAGGCATGGCTCAAATGCATGATCTGTTTGGTATTTTGAAAACAGAAACGTATAAATATACCTTATATAGGTATGGCCCTACAATATATAATTTAAATATACCATGATAGCTCCACTTTAATTATCTTTTGTTATTTTTCTTTACTTGCTTGTAAAGCATCTTTGAGCACCAGGAAAAGCACAATGAAAATACAATGTATTATTATCATTATTATTATTATAATGTGGAAATGACATTATTCTACTGTAGCATTAGCTTGTAGAAGCTAGGAGTGGGTAATTTGATAAAGCATAGCATCATGATATATTGCATGGTCAATGAATACGCGAACACCAAGTCTTGTTCGTTCATGTGACAAAGTTCATCTTTCATTACATAAACTATCAATATTTTAAAAACAAATGTAACTTTAAAAAAAATAGATATGCATTCAATAAATTGGACATTTTATAATGTAAAACTGACACTTTGTCAGACTACTTTTTTTTTGACAGTGTTGACAAGTCTGCCTGCTTGACAATCCGATTTTTTCTGCAATAAAATCAACTAAAAATGTAATTAAACTCTATTCTCTAATTTGCACTTGAAAAATACATTGCAATATTTGTTGTATATTACAAAGTCGCAATTTGTAAACTTTTTATATTAAAATGGTATAGTGATACTCCTGGTGATGCCCAACCCTAGCAGTAGCACACACACTCAGACGTGTTCATGCACACACCTATACTGGGCTGCAGGATGTTCTCCATGCACTTGATGAGCTGCTGGTAGATCTGGATGGCCAGGTCGCTGATCACCTGTCGGTACTCTGCCAGGTCGAAGTTGGACAGACAGTGTTCGTTCTGCCTCGTCGTGTTGTGCTTCATGAAGGCCTGACACGAAGACACAGGCAGATACAGGGTTACAACTGTTCTTGTTGAATTCAAAACAATAATGTAGAATTCTAACAATCCTTCTTCATGACTGTGTAACTATTTGAGAGAGTTTCTCTGTTGGTGTTGTGTCAGTCTCACCTCGTCTCCGCTGTATTGTTTCAGACAGTGCAAGAAGCGGCAGGTGTTGGACAGCCAGAAGGAGACGGTCTCAAAGTCGTCTCCTCGTTTCTGAAAGAACAAATTAAGTCAGTAAATCAGCAGGTTATATTCATAATTAAGACGTATCAGAGCCTCTATCAGAGTCATTTCATCCCCCAGATGACTGAAAAGCAGCTTTTAAAGCATCTTGATTCAAATAAAGAAGAAGCAGATTCTGCAATTACCTTTAAACACATTTACTCGACACTTACCAGGGACATGTAATGCTGCAAGTACTAATCAACTGTGCACAGATCGCCCGGAAACTCTTATCATCCTTTCTTTGTAGGATTGACATCATCATTCAGCTTTATATAAGAAGTACTGCCCTACACACAAACACAAACACAGGGTGCATACCTTCAGGATCTTCTTGATACTGTTGATGGTGGAGGTGAGCAGGGTGCGGACCTTCTGGTCATCGTTGACGTAGTCCGCATGTCTCAGACACATGAACAGGATGTAGGCTGGCAGACCTGGGATCAGATTCACAGCTACACCTCGAGGCTTCAGCTCTGCAGAGACAAGAGTTCAGTGATCAAGAATTCAGAGACAAGCTTCAGCTTCATATTCTACGAAAGGCTAAAGGTTTCCGACTAGAGAAACTGTGGATCTTTATTCTAGCAGCTTTAATAGATCAATGGGATTGAGCGATTTTCAAGTTATCTTAAAGGGGACCTATCATGCAAAATGCACTTTTGTACGTCTTTTATACATGAATACGTGTCCCCGGTGTTCCAGGGAACTCACCAAGTGTCAGAAAACACAACCCTCTCTATTTTCCTCCATACCCAAATCTCTAAAAAAGGGGCTGCAACAGATCTGATAAAAACTGATCCAGATTTGAACACTGTCCTGACGTCAGGACAGTGGCGCTACGGCTATTGGGCCAACTCCACCAATCAGGAGGAGACAGCCACGGCCATTGCCGTTCGAAAGCGCTGGAGACGCTGTAGTACATATGCCAGGCCTGTAGATGGTGCTGTTCTCACTGAATCTGCCCTTGCAAAAACAGAGCTAAAAAATGTCAAATTGAGCAAAATGAGGCATGGCTAAAATGCATGATCTGTTTGGTATTTTGAAAAAAAAAGAAGTATGCCTTATATAGGTATGGTCCTATACTATATTATTCAAATATAGCATGATAGGTCCACTTTAAAATGTAAAACAGTTCCAAGTTAAATCCTCAAAATGCAACTTGAGACAGAGCCCAAAGGGTCCTTAAATGACCTCTTTGGAGTCAATGATGATTCAGGATTTTTGATGACTCGTGTTAATGCTCTTTATTGTAAGGTCTTACCCAGGATGAGGTTCTTGACCAGTTTGAGCTCATCCTCCTTGTTGTACTCCAGCATCCCTTGGAAATCTTTCTCCCTGCGGGGAATGTTGACAGGATGAATCGGCTCATCCACCATCTGTCCCGGAGACGTCTGTCCCTCGGTTTGACCCGCTGTGAAACACAAGACACAAAACATCAGGCTATATGTTGTACCGTTATGATCAAACGTGCAGACTCTTAATCCTCTCTGCTGACCGATGGTTTCTCCCTTACCTCCCATCTCTCCGATCCTCTTGGAGTAAACCTTCAGCTGCTTCTTCAGCTTGCGGATGGTTCGGTCCTGTTTCTCCAGCTGCTCCATTAGATCCTGAAGGTTGGGAGTGATAGAAAAAGAGAGAATAGTGAGGACATGGGAAAGCTTCTGAATTCTAAGAGAGCTTCACGCTGTCGCCCCCCAGTGGTTAAAAACATACACTTGTGTAAATCAGCTGCGGGCTTTGCATCAGCCAAAGTCTTTGAAACAGACAAACAAACAGAAAGAGCAGGGAAGGGGGGGGTTGAATCAACGTAAGAGCTGCTGTGCTGATTGTTTTGTTTTCAGAGGAAGCAAAGTTTCAGGACTCGGTGGCTGTTAGAAAACGAGAGAAAGGTGCAGAGCTGCTCCGCTGTGAGTTAGAAGACGCCGCTGTGGAGAGTTAGAGCGACACTCGGCGCCGTTTCATTCAAAACACAACACATCCGTTAGTTCTGACACATGCAAACACACACAGATGCACGCACACACACGCACACACACGCGCACACACACACTCTACATACAACCATCCGTCGTAAAATCTTGACTCGAGCCTCTCTGGATGCTTCGGGGTCTTCAGCCAGGAGCTCCTGTCAGGTGACACCCAACACGCAGATGAGTGTGTGTGTGTGACACTGATTCAGTTTTTCAGTGGGAGACCCAGGTGGGAAGGAAACCACCAACCCATGATTCATGAAATGTAACTGTCATTCAGAACTGTCTGGTAGTTTGTCACTCTCTTTTTTATAATCATCACAATATAACTGCATTTGTGATGCACTAAGTCTGTATGCATATGTCGTTGTATGTAGATGTAGATTCTGGTTTAAAGGCACCAGAGTGATGTATTACCAATCTTTACTTTTCATTTCTGAAGATTGTGCTCTGGATGCATAGCAGGAATAACGCAGCAATTCCCTTACAGCTGAAAGCAATATTTTGTATATAACAAATGTTGATATCTTATGCCATCTATATGAAGGACTTTGGTAAACAGTAATTCTGCCTTTTTTTGCACAGTTCGAGTCGTCCCCCTAAGTATTGTTGTGCTTGAGAAGAGAAAAGATGATACATTAACTTGCTAATACACTAGCATTCAAGTCATTTTCTGACATTAACTAAGAACAAACTGAGATGACACAACAAGCATCACTTTCTGCATCTTTGCTGCAATTGGAAGGCAATAATATGTGTAACAGATTTAAAGGCTTCATCTTTGAGGTAGTGGTATGACATTTTGGGAGAGACAATTCTCTAAACCGATTGTCAACGAGCAAGCCAACATACATATTTCCCAAAATGTCAACTTTAGACTCTTGACAATTGAGCAATACCAACTATCGGAAAGTAGGGAAAAGTATACTGAAACTGCAGTACAGGTTAGGGCAGGGGTGTCCACACTTTTTTTACCGAGGGCCACATACAGAAAAATATACGAAGGGCTGGGCCAGTCTGGGAGGAGAGGTATATTGCCTCATAAGTTAAGTTATAAGTTGGAAAAGTCAATCCAATGTAGGTAAATTATTCTTGATACTTGAAAATGCTTTAAGAAAAAAACATTCCAGCTCTACATAGGGCTTCATTACTTTTGTTGGCAGCTCATTCCCTAACCCCTTATCATAAGGGGAAATATGAAGGGTATATTTCAAGGTTGTTATGTACATTTGTGTAATATATTTGAACATATATATTTAAGAAGTAAGACAAGCAGAAGTTTATTATACTTAAGTCATTGTACTTTTTTTATTTGCTGAGTGAGGGCCAAAGTTTGGACACCCCTGGGTTAGAGTTACCGCTGTTCCTCTGCCTGCGTGTGTGTGTGTGTGTGTGTGTGTGTGTGTGTGTGTGTGTGTGTGTGTGTGTGTGTGTGTGTGTGTGTGTGTGTGTGTGTGTGTGTGTGTGTGTGTGTGTGTGTGTGTGTGTGTGTGTGTGTGTGTGTGTGTGTGTGTGTGTGTGTGTGTGTGTGTGTGTGTGTGTGTGTGTGTGTGTGTGTGTGTGTGTGTGTGTGTGTGTGTGTGTGTGTGTTCGGCGTACCAGGTTCTCGTTGGTGAGGCGGGTGATCTCGTGCTGCAGGCTGGCCTCGATGCGGGCCTCTGGAGGCAGCTGCAGGTTCTGGGCTAAGAGCTGCTGCTGGCGGTTGTTCTCCTCCTTCACGTTCTGCAGCTCGCCACGCAACGACTCCACCTCGTTATCGTAGCCTCGCCGCTGAGTCTGCAGCTGGTGCTCCAGTAACCTGAGGGGGGGGGGGGGTGAAGGAAGGAGGGTAGAAAGGAGACGAAGGGATGAGGGAAGAGAAAAGTGAGGAGGAAGATGGAGTGGGATAGACGAAAGGGTGTGAGAGGGCACAAATGGGAGAAAAGGGGAAAACAAATCAGCGTTATTGTGTGAATGAAACTTCAGATGACAGTAAGAGAGGATGTCACCACAGCATGGTGACGCAGGAGCATGCTGTGCAGACATTACCAGCAGCTCAGCCTCGATGAACACTTGTTCTCAAATATGCTGAGAGCATATCTAAGATTGAGGGATTATTAGGGTTTGTTTTTAATGTCAGGAATAAGGAGGGTTTCCCGCCTTGTTTTGACTTCTTTTGCATTAGTTAGTAAGACGTTAGTGATAAAACACAACTGATCTACTCCCTCTCTACGATCTTTGCAGTAAATAGAGTAACATGATACTGTACAATGTAACAGGCTGTCATAAGTGAGTAAAACAAGGTTAGTGGAAGGATGGAGGCAATGTCTGATGCACTTTGTTATAAACAAATGGGAAAAACAATTCAATTTTTTTTATAAATTACTTTAAATAATGCAGCTTCTATGGGGAGTTTTCTATGGATAAAACAACCATGTAAAGAACTGTGTGGGGAAGAGTGAAAATCTTCTGTTGTGCCACAAATATATAGAGTACCTAAGTAGACTACATGACACACTTTAATACAACAGACTTTTGCCTAGTCGCTGTTAAGAAAGAAAGTGCGTTAGTGTATTGTGGCGCATTTCCACTGCAGGACCTAGCCCGGCTTAGTACGGTATGGTTAGGCCTTGTTAGGCCAGGCTCACTTTATGCTGAGTTTCCATTACAGTTTAGGAACTGGGGTAGTAACTATAGTAACGCAGTGTAGGCGGGGCGATCGGCTGTTCGGCTGGCGGAGCGACGCTGCGTAAAACAAGCCGTCTCAGTATACGTCGTAAAACTGTTAAGTTGGATAACCTTGAATGTTAGCTGTGAGAGAAAACTCTGACCGGTTGATACAGCGAAAGAAAGAGGAAGTACATGAATGAAGAAACAACAGCAGCACACATCCTTTCCTGTGAGAAGGCAAACGCTTCATGCTCAAATAAAAACACCTGATGGTTTCCTTTAAGCCCTGATTAACCAGCCACAGCTCTCCGTCCTCATTCAGCTTGTGGAGGTCTGGAGCGGCAGATCTGACCGACACAACACAAAGGAACATGAACAACACAATGACAACAAGAAAGAAGCGGGATGGTGGGGTTGGGGAGAAGTGTGCAAAACAAGAATAACATGTCTGCTTTTTATCTGAAGTGTCTGCATGTGTGTATGTTCAAACACTGTCCAATTTGAAGTCATATTATCTGGAGTTTAAGGTGTACTGAATGTGACTGTAGAGACAAATATGCATGCAGACTGTGATATAAATAAATCTGTAATTTGAATAAAATCTAACAAAATATTTTTGAAAATATTCTGATAACCGTGGATTCAGGTTATTTTTCAAATGCAGTAATTTCTACTAATGTCTGTTTTGAACTAATAATTTCACAAGCAAAGTGAGTAGCATGTAAAAAAGAGAGAGATTAAGCCAGTGATGCACAGTATTGTAAAAACTCTGCCTAAAAACAGAGAATATGTCTTCTGTTAGCTAGCTATTGTGTGTACAATATCAAATATGTGTTTACTTTGCCATCTTACAATGTGCATCTTTTCAAGACCAATGAGATGACATGCATTTAAAAACATGGAGACAATAAATATTAACATGATGGTTCCTTGCAGAAAAATAAAAAATGTAATTCCTTTAATGTGTGCTGTGCATCTCTGCTTGGACAAACAAAGAGAAAAGTGGGTTTTCATGCAGGATTTATGCCAAACTCATTCCATAAAGCTGAGACAGGAGGCCTGCTACAACAGCATCCAACCCAACACTGCCTGCAAGTCAGTGAGTGAGGAAGTCAGGTTGAAATCTATGTGTTAATAAAGGTTAAAGTACAACTGAAGACTACATGAAACCCTTTGAAGCTCAGACCTTTCCATGCCGTCATGCTGCACATTTAGAAAACACTGCATTTAAAAATGGTGTTCTGCAGCATCTCCAAAAACAGACCAGAAGCCCCTGAATACATCTTTGTTTGAGAGACTCATGCTTAACTAGGAGATCCCATGCAAAACGAAGAATCTTAAAATCTGACTTCAAAGCACATTTGTTTAATTCAAATACTGGTTAAAACTGTCTGTTAAGTCCGACCTGAACTGTAGCTAGAGCGGCTTCGTTATTCATCATGCTGTTAGCGCAGAAACAGCTACCCAAGCTTTGATCAGCACGACGACGTAGAGTCAGCTGTTTCAGCCTCAGTAAAACAAATCTTAGAGTCTTTTTCACTCTGGTTTTGCATCAGCGTGGCCATGCATGCTCTGTCCCATGATGCATAGGCCACGTCTGCTTTTTTTTTTACCTCAGCCTACTCAGGAGATCACTGACTTCCAACGGCTTACGCATGAACCTAGGAGATCTGCACAGGACAAGGCAGTGTTCACAAACACACACACATGTATTTAATGTATATAGCATGGTAATATCAATGATAGGGCAAGAGCCAAGTCAGACACAACATTTGGATACAAAATATGATGGGATTTGGGTGAAGTGAATTCACACTTCCATTAAATACATTTAATTTTGTTTGTCATTTATTATCTTTCATCGTACTTGTGTCACTATACAAACATGTCACCTCCACCTGCCATGCTTTTGTGCAACTATAGGCATTACAATGTGTTGCAAATGTTCACAAAATGTCAAGAACATTTCCAAATGTATGTGAATAAATTCTTGTTTCGATCCACTACCTCTTAGTAGTTGGTTTCTTAAGATAAGCAGCAGATGGCGCCAATTTTCCAGTGGGAAGACTTTTTTAACATTGCAGTAGAAGGGGCTGATGACGTAATTAAAAAAGCGAATAGAATAATAGTAGAATACCTGATTGAAAAATGACCTTTCTGTTTGTTTTATGTATTAATGTGATGAAGGTTACATCAAATGTTATGTGGAGCGTTGTGCTAATCTATCGTGATGATCCGTCTCTTCAGCAGAGCAGAAGCTACATCAAGGTTTCAGTCGAATGCTTCGTGTATGTCAATATTTATTCGCTTACTCTTTTTACGAGACACTTTGTCATAGTTTGCTTCACACCAACTTCTTCCGCCCGAAAAAACACATTGAAAAACCCTTTTTGCCAAAGCACTGGTTCTTAGTATCATAATGGTTCATTGTATGTCCTTCTGGTGTCCAAAGAGGGCATGAATGACCAACCCTGATGTAAAACAGGTGCCGTTATTTAAGCATCTCCATGTACGTCCTATTTATGTTATGTCTGTGAAAAAAACAAAAACCTTTTGCCAATCTTTGGAGATTTTTCGGATTTTCTGCATTTCCACTTCGGTTTTTTTAAGCTCAAACTGGAAAAAGATATGGATGGAAATACACCTAATTATGAATGTATGGATCTGGAGATTAGGAGGAGTACTGTCTGTAACAAAGTACCTGTTGGTGTCTTTAAGTCCTACGTAGGCTTGCTTGATTTCATCAGAGTCCTTCAGCTTGGAAACATCCTCCGCATAGACTGAAGGCTCGGTCATGGTTTCCTACACAGAGATAAACAAAGGGGATACATTAGAAAAGGGAACACCACATTTACAACAGTAACCAGGCTCATACAACCTCTGGCAAAGGTGCATCATGAACCAGTGTCATTCAGATAGGTGTATGAATAAAGATAATGGAGTCATGATTAGTTCACAGTGCTGAGGGCTGTCAGCATGTGTGCTGCGGACTCCCTGCCAGCTGCACTACGGCTGCCGGCTACCACTGTCCTTTTACTCTGACAATCATCAGCCCCCAGATGAAACACTGACAAGAAATCAAGTGACGCCTCAGTGACAGCCGTCTATCTGCAGGGAGCTTCACAGCGGGGCGACTTCTACTAGCTTTCAACAGACATGAGGGGGGGGGTTTAAGGTCACTCATGATCATAATGTCTGAGGGAGGTTCATGTGATCGCCGTGTGACAGTTTGATGTAAAGACAAGGATCATGTGTTAGCATGAAAGACTCTGGGGACACGAATATCTATATCTGTGTAGCTGTAAGAGGTGGGAATCAAACGGACTCGTGTACAAAATGTGATTCTTGTCTTCTGAGATGAAATGTGAAATTCACAATTTACAAAAACATATTAGAACCTATATATGTCGTATGATGGACAGTAAATCCGACACATAAAGTCTAATGTGTGTCAAGCTTTTTTTGAAAAATCACAGTTTTAAAGAAATGTGTAGCATACATTTTTGGAAATTGCCTAGTTTCTTAAAAAATATAATTAACAGATTATAAGAAAACCATGTAATTATGAAACACACAACATATTTTTTTAAATCTTAAACTTGTTGTATGAGAACTCCTTGAGAAACACTAACAACGTAATACTAAAAAGCACTTTTTGTGTAAGCCTGGCGTACATTTTAGCTTTTGCCTTTGTGTGTTTATATTACAGCAATCTGTTGACATAAAAAAACAAGACTTCATAATCCTTTTATTAATTATTCGGCTTTCGTGCCACATTATGCTACACTGACTTCATTAGCGCTGTTGAGATACTTTTGAGCAGCAGCAAGTGAAAAAAGGGAATCCCTACTATTGAACAACCACCAGGAGAACAGTTGTTTAAAGTATTTAAGTGTATATTTTGAATTACTTGAATTACTTAAGAATTTTTCCTAGCAGTGGTGGTGTTAGAGCTGCACAGAGAAAACAGACTAACTAACATATATATATATATATATATATAATATATCAAATTCAAAGTTGGATCAGATCTTTAAACAAATGAGGTTTACATGCAAGAAACACAGTGACACAGTGACACAGAGCTAAACAGTCATGCAGGAGGCAGTTTTTGTAACTGTACCTTCTCATCCTGTGGGGGAGCGTGGATGGAGGAGAGAAGGTTGAGACAGGAGTTAGACAAAAAGACGGTGCAGTGAAACACAAAACTACTTACAGTGAGAACATCAACGTGATTTCATTTTTAGTTTGACCCTCAATCAACTACTACATTTTGTTCAAATGTCAAATAAGGTATACTCTATTAATCATTCGCCATTTTTTGCTTTAAAAGCTAGAAAGGAAGTCTCAGATTTCATGCTTTTTTTTAATACATGAACATGAGAAAAGTATTTATTTATAACACATTACTTCAGAAATCTGAGATTAGGATCACTCGCCAAATGTAAATGTAGTGATCTCTTTTTTTTTTATCTTGTGCTAACAAACAGAAGCAGACATGGGTGAAAAGTTAAACACACACAACATGTGAGCAAGCAGGCTGCCATCCTCCTTCATTTAGCTTCATTTTGTGAAAGACAACAGCACCACGTAAAGATGCCATATGTTTAATCTAAAGTGGCAATATACTCGGCTTTTCTGGATCCTTGGGTCTTTTCCACCTCAGTCGTGATATGGATGTACTTCCTGTATTTGCACCCTGAAAACAGTCACAGTCACACGTTGCTCTACCTTGTGGTGCATGGCCTCCTTCTGGCTGACCAGCTGTGAGCGCAGGATCAGCACCTCCTCCTTACGGACCTCCAGCTCCTCACAGGAGGAGTTCAGCTGCTCCAACACCACCTTGTAGGCTGGGGAGCCCGGGGCCCCGGCGCCTGGACCAGCTTTACCCAGCAGGCTTCGCCTAATCTCCACCAGGTCATGTTTTAGCTTCTTGTTCTCCGACTCCAGCTCCTGGCGCTGAGGAGTGAAAAGACTCAGTGTCGGTGGGTCACAGTAAGTAAGTAAGTGTCAAATGAGGCTTTCTGAAGCTAAGGCAGGAATTACTCTAATAAGTACGTGTCTGGCTTTCGGTCGGTGAGAGAAAAGGTGCTAATGTTTCCACTCTCTTCTCCTCTGGTAGCTTACCTTCAGTGACTCGTACTCCAGCTCTGCTCCGCGAGCCTTTTTAAACTCAACGTCATCCTGAAACAAGGAGCAAAACATGGCGATGAAGAGGGTTTTCGTACAGTGACAACGTTTGTAATACCTAATTCAGCTTCATTTAACATGGGGGCAATTAAAAAGCGGCTTGAAGGAAGAAAAAGGTGGTTCGATTTTTGTTTATATCTTCATCTAAATAATTAATGAACTAATGAATTAAAGGTGGGGTAGGTAATTTTGGAGAAACCAGCTCGAGTGCGCAAGAATTTGAAAATACACAACCGGAAAAAATCTGCCGCTTCCTTACAGAGACCCTCCTCCAACACACACAAACGCGCACATGACCAATGAGGGCACGAGATAAGTTTGTGCCCCGATGGCAGGCTGACAGGCAGGTAGGCCATCCAGTTATTTTAGCCGGGCCGGCTCAGATGATTGGTCGTACTTTTTACAGTATTACGGCTTCCACAGATGACATTTTTTTATGGATTTTTTGTCAAAGCACTTAAGATATTCATTGCTATCGGGATGTTAAGAGCATTCCATGGAATATAACAAAAAGTGTATCTCGAGCCGGTTTCTCAAACTTACCTACCCCACCTTTAAGTGATGTTAAAATTATGTAAAAGAGAACCCTTTTTGTACTTCCTATTCATGACATGCTTACTGTAGATATGTCTATTTTTATTACTTTTTCATCAGGACCCATACAACTAATAGTGTACGTTAGAAATCCTTCAACATGGATTAGCACGCTAGAATGAGATAACTCTAGGTGTTGATTTGATATGCTTATATGATATATTTAGAGCCCAGGGGGGGGGGGGGGGGGGGTCTGTACCCTGGCTCTAGCCCGCTGGAACTGGTCCTCTTTGTTTTCCAGCTCGTTGCGCAGAGACTGCTTCTCTTGCTCGAGCTCGGTGAGGCGCTTCTGCAGCTTCAGGGTCAGCGAGGTGTCGATTCCCCGAGTCACATCCTGCACACACAGACATGTTAGGACAGAGCATGGGCACAATGAAAAGTATTTAAAGGGATATCATTAAATGAAAAGCCACTTTTATCAGCAGCAACTACCAGTGGAAACCAGGTGTTTCCTCTTATAAAATACAACCAAACTAAATGCAAACAGTCTTACTTCCGCAGCACGGGAACCTTCCTCCAATTCGGCGTACTCTGAGTTGTATGTGTACTCTGATTCGTTGCTGCTGTGCGTGGAATCTTTTCTCCTGTGACCAGGCTTGGAGGCGTTCTGCAGATTAGAGAAAAAACAAGCTTTCTAATTTAGAAAACATCACATTTTGAACAAGAGATAATAAGAATGCGAAATAGAATAGGGATTTAATGTGATATGACTTCAGACAGTTGGCAGCTAAGTGCAGAATATTACCAATGTTATGTTCTGCTGTTCTAATGCAAATCTAATGTAGACAAATATTCACCAATGGATCAAAAAAATATTGTTGTCTGAGTGTTTTTAGCTGTTTACGAAGTTGTGTGACACTGACATAATGTCTACAAATGTTCATAAAGATGTCTCGTAATATGGACTGTGTGTCTCTCACCGAGGAAGCCATCGCCTCCTTCAGGTCGTCGTATTTCTCCTCCATGCGCAGGTGCTCCCTCAGCAGATTCTGGTAGCGAGACCGCTCCTCGTTCAGATCCGTCTCCAGCTGCTGGGTCTCCTGTACGATCGCATGAGCCATTTTCTCTGAGGGAGAAAACATTAAGAAGAAGCAGATACAAAAGAATAAGCATGCTGTATGGTTTAAGAGACAACTACATGTCTATGGATGACTGGATGGAGGATCTATGTGGGGATGTTTGCAAACCTGTCATCTGCTGACTCTGTTCCTGAATCATCCTGTTCAGGTCGTCCTTGTCCTTCTTCAGCGTGCCGTTCTGCTCCTTCAGCTCTGAGACCATCTACACACACGGAGAGAAACCAACAACCCTTAATCAAATCTATAGATCAAGGTGAATTGTCATCATCTTGAACATAATAAACATATCTATATAGTCCAAGAAGTAAAAAACACTCCAACAGCAACTCTCAAAAGTGATGCAAAGAAATACTACACAAAAACACACAGTACTCAGACACACACACACACAGTGCAGTGACACTACTCTACCCTATCTCCAGTGCTCACCTTCCCCAGAGCAACTTGGCCCACCATGTGCCCATTTCCCCCTGGTTCGCTTTGCCTCCTAAATTGGGGGAAACACTTTTTTTCCTCTTGTGCAAATATGCATATTTATGAAAACAATTTCAAGAAACTATGGGAAATTGTTCTTGTTGGGAGAAATGTCTATTGAACTTAGTTTTAAACTATAAACAGGACAGCTATATCTTAGGAGAGAAACAAGAGGAGGGTTTTAACGGGATACTTTGATCTTAATAAATGTGAACTATGCCTTTAAGTTGAGTTCATAAACACATTTTTGGGGAAATCTAAAATTAGTTCTGGATATGGAAATCTGCTATTGTACGGAAAACATGTACCACTACACTGCAGAGGGAAGTGGAGGATCAGGACATCTACAGATGGATCGGCTCTTACCTTCTCCATTTCCTCCCTGTAGGTTTTGGCCCAGTTCTCGATGGTCTTCTTCTCCTTCTGAGTGGTACTCAGCTCCGTCTTCAGCTTCTCCAGCTCCTCCTGCAGCGAGCTCAGCCGGATGCCTTTGTTCTTGGCGTCTACCTCCACTCCACGCAGCCGGCTCACCTCTGTACGCAGCTTCTCGCTCTCCGCTGTGTAGGAAGTCTCCATACCCACCATCCTGTCTTTGACCACCTTATGGTTCTCTTTCTTGAGGCCAAAGACAGATCACAAAACAGAAAAGTGAAACACACAAAAGAGGACAAATGTATCAATACGAGGCCTCAAAACTTCATCTCACCTGCTCGTCGATTTTCCTCTGCAGCTGCATGATCTTGTTCTCCATGCCCTTGTTGAGCTTCTTGAAGTGCTCCACTGAGCGAGCCTCGATCTTCAGCTTCTTCAGCTGGCGCCGGGCCTTCATCCTGCGGAAACAGCACTGCAGGTAGACGATGGACTCCAGGCAGCGCTTGTACCAGCAGCGAGCCAACCAGCCGCGCACTCGCTTCTGGATGATCACCACCTTTTGCTCCCGCAGCAACTACAGACACACAGAAAAAGTTAAGGAGAAGCAGAGGGAGGATAAGAGCACATGAATAGATTTTGCACAGTCCAATATATTCAGATTTTCCTACAAGCTAAAGATTTCTTATTTGTAATATTCCTGCTCATGTTAGGTGTGTTTCTCTCTGTTATAGTTGAAGTGAAAGACAGATTGGGGGTAAACTGCACCATAAGCATCAGCAAAGGTTTTATTAGCTTCTCCTCAGGACTCAATAAGCACTGGTTATGTTGAACATGTTCTTCAGAATGTTGTGAAGTGTGTCTTACCGATTGGTACATCTGCCGGGCCATGTACGCTCGGATGAGGGTCTGCATGAGGAGAGCAGCAGCCTGCTTCTGCCGGTAGCATTTCCTCTCCACAACCATCCTCTGGTACTTCTGGATGGTGGTGGCTGCCTGCGTGCGACGCATGAACTTGACGAGGCTGAGGAGACGAGAGATAAACACGTCAACATGTATTTCAACATTTAAACTTAAGGACTTAAGGTACAGTATTTCAACCTTATTTAACTGCCCTAATATTTCCAAAAACGTTTACCCAGCATTGTTTTATAAGGCAAGGCAAGTTTATTTATATAGCACCTTTCAACACAAGGCAATTCAAAGTGCTTTACAACAATGAAGGACATTAAGAGCCTTAAGAAACATATTATAAAATGGCTTTTAAAAACACTGATTTAAAAGCAAAGATAATAAAACATGAATAACAAAAAGGTACATGAATCAAAGTCACAGTGCAGTGTGAGATACACACATCTGAAATGTTTCGGTCTGATTCAATCATTGCTAACTTTTTAGCGGAAATAGTTTTCTATGACCTCACTTTCTTTCTACTTTCTTTTTTAACTTATCCTTTAGTTATTTCAAGTGTTTCATGCTAAACGAACCCAACGATCATGTGTTGTTATAAAACAAACACACGATCTGTGCATATGATGGTTCTGTTTGAATGTCTGCAGGGGGCACTCACCGGCGGGCCTGGTATCCTCTGGTGAACCTCTGGACGGTGATGGCGGCGCTGCGTTTGCGCAGATACCTCTTGCGCTCCAGCCAGCAGCGGATGGTTTTCTGGATGCGGATGCAGGCAACACGCAACTTATCTGCCCTCAACTTCTCCAGGTAGGCCACCTGGCCGGCCCTGAAGAAGATCTTGGTCTTACCAAACTGATATTTATCCTGGTCCTGGAGGAACAGAGAGGCAGAGGTCAGGAGAAAGACAGGGTGAGATTGACTAAATGGGACGGATTTACTGAGTGTTTATTGCCACTGTTTTTGCATAGAAGAGGCAAAACAAAAGACTTGAAACATATTCAAGATTGATATGCCTTGGAAAACTACTAATACAGATGCTTCCTTTTTAAGAAACAAGTAAAAGGTAGAAATGCAGATGGTCTGACCTCCACCAGTTTCTCCAGAACATTTCTGCAGGTCAACCTCTGTCAGGTAACACGTCCTTCTGCTTCATCAGCACTCTGTAACGGCTGAAGAAACTCCTGGTACGTCCATCTGACACACACACACACCACACACACACACACACACACACACACACACACCACACACACACACCAACACACACACACACACACACACACACACACACACACACACACACACCACACACACACACACACACACACACACACAACACACACACACACCACACACACACACACACACACACCACACACACACACACACACCACACACACCCCACACACACACACACACAAAACAGTTAACTAGGTAAAAAATGCTAACTACCAAATACAAATAAGATTGCAATACATGCATACAGTACGGTGTAAAGCTGTGAAATGCATTTGAAATATAAAAGTGACTCTCCCCCGATAATAATCACAACCCAATACTTTCTTTTCTATTATATTCCAAAGGTTATTGTCTGTAACAATGTTGTATGCCCGGTGAAATACAATATAACATATTAAAGAGTCTAAGGGAAACAGTAGACGTGGATGCATCAGCACCTGGAGGGGAACCCTGCAGCAGAGATCCTGATGGTTTCCAGGACTCCGCAGGCTCTGAGCTGCTGCACCGCTCGCTTAGGATCAAACCTGCCAACAACAGACAACCACAGGCAATTACACCACCAAGAACTACACCTGAGCTAAGGTGGTGGTTTAGAGAATATAAACAACAACAGAATATTAACAGAAAAGAGGAAGACTCACGTGAAGGCCAACTTGAAGTCGTTGGGTTTGATGCAGCGGACGTAGTGCGGGGTGGTTGCATTCAACGTTTCCATCAGCATTGCCAGGGAGTTACGGAACTACAAGAGAGCATCCTCATCATCAGCCTCATCACCACCAACATCAGCTACATCATCACCACCACCATCATCATCACACTTTGGTATTTTCTAACTAGGCTGTCAAATCATTGAAGCAAATCCATGTGTGTTTTCACTTTAAATATAATTAATGTATTAAGACATACAGTAAGTAGTGCCAATTCATTTGTACAATATAGGCATGTGGGTAAAGAGGACATCTAATATGTTTGAAATGTGCTCTGATCTCTACCAACACGCACTGGAACTGATCTCAATTTGTGCAATTAAAATACTCAAGTCTTTAAGAACAGTACATTAATTAATTTCCACCACTGTATGGACACAGGACAAACCAATAAACTCAAACACTGGAGGAGATATGAGTTTCCTCTTTAGTACAGCGTACAGTTAGGACTGGTTTTAAACTCCCTTTTAAACATCCTCATGGACCCTTTATTTTATGGAATATTAATGATTGTATTCTAACTGTATTTGTGTCATTGTGTTTGTACCCATTCATTGGTACTTTCACATTTATCTTGTCATTTGACTATATTCTCAGATATGTTTGTTGTTTTTACATTGTCATTCGTGTTTGTTGATTTGTGAAGCCCTCCGAGACAAATGTGATTTGTGATATTGGGCTATATAAATACATTTGAATTGAATTGAATTGAATATGAACCTGGCATCCGACGGTCTTCTTGTTCTCCTTGCTGCTGCTCTCGCGGCCCTTGGTAGGTTTGACGCTGAGGCGGGTCCGTCCTCCGCTGCCGGGGCCCTGGCCCGTGGGACTGGTGGCTTTCTCCCCGTCCTGGAACAGCTCCACCAGCAGGGGGAACTGGGAACAGCAGCACACACACAGTCACAAACAGAGCAGCTGATGGCAGCGTTAGACACGGCAGGCGTTATTGATTTACTGAAATAAAGGTTAACCACACAGCATTCTGCTCTGGATGTAATGTTAGATTAAGCTTCAGTGCAACTACAATGCTTATATAAGAGCTATGGTTGTAGTACCTAACAGTATCTTCTTACAGTACATGGCATGCGTATGGATTTCTCATACAGCCTTACCGAGCACAATGAGAGTTTTCATTTGAGCATTTCATACAAGCCTTTACATTTTTGACTTGAGTGTTGAGAACCACGATCATTTTAAAATGTCTAAAGTAATCACGTAATCTAGTTTAGTTATCAGGTTTAAGATTGACATGAGAGTTAAAGGAAAACTTCACCCCAAAAATGATCATATCATTTACTCGCGCTCAGCTATATGGATTTGTGAAGAAACTAGTCTTGATGAACCTAAAACCTTACTATTATAAACACATCTGGATACAAAGTGTCAATGTTACGCAGGTGTCCTACTTGTCAAGTGCTCAAGTGTAGGTGTTTTAAGCAAAAAATGCATGTGTTTGGTTAGATAGGATAAGTACTGCACGAGTTGTATGAGAATTTGTACATTTATATTTTGTAATAGTTTTATTTTTGAATTTTTGAATTCATTCAGAAATGTCTCCGTTTGTGGATTCATTATTTACCATGGAATGCGAGAAAAAAAGTTGAAGGTAACACCAGACGCAGTGTTATTGATATAAATGTGGGTGAAGTATCCCTTTAATTCATCTTAGTTAAAGTGAGTAGATTGATGATTTGTTGATTAGCAATTGTTAAACCTATTTACAGTCAAAGAGTTGTTATAATGTTTTTAAAAGCCAATAAAAGAAAAATCGAAGGGTTATGCTTTCTCATATATCACGATATGCAGTGGCCATATATGAGTACAAGGCGTTACCTTGCCATGAGGTTATGACATAAAAAGTATCATGTATGATGCACACACATCAGTCATGTTCCATATAACTGTGAGGTTATATGAGGAGGATGCTGTGTTATGTTCAGGTCCTCCTCCTGCCATGCTGCTTCTCTGGCCAGCGTCATAAAGCGGGATAACAAAGGCTTTACGTGCTGCACGCTCTCGGCATCGCTCTGAAAACATAAAAATACCCTCATTCCTTTGTCTCTTATCTGAATCCCCTTTTCTTCTCCCAGAGTGCCTTTGGTGCTCCCCATGCAGCAAACAAATGCACACACACACAACTTAAATCTCCTCTGGCCGTTAGAGTGATAATAACCCCAGAGAGAGAGAGGGGGAAAAGGAAAAGAAGCTAACGGATAAGCTACAGGCGGACCAGCGTTGAAGGAACGCCTCTGTTTACCTTCTGCTGGCAGGGAAGGGTTGTCATGATGAGGACAGAACCAAACATACATGGACAACACATGGAGACACAATGACATTAAAAGAAAACAAATCAGTATTTCCCCTTTAAAAACTTTAAAACACATCACAATATAAAACTGAAAAGAAGATGGAAAAACCAGGCAGACTAATGATGAGGCTGAAATGGATGGGAGGAACATGATACGTGCATGACGTATAAAGCATGTCTGTGGTTGGGAAACAGTCACAAGGTGGAATTGTATCTGTCTGATCGCATTCCTGGATAGCAATGCATCATGGAAAATCTCTGCATCAGGGATTTCTCCAATGCACTGTATTGATTAGACTTGCAGGGAGACGTCAGCAGGAAGGAGAGTCTACTGAGTGTTCTGCAGGTCCCAGTGCAGTGCGAGCAATGCGGGTACAGTGGAGCCATTACACACTAGAGTATTTAACTGCGTAGACTTAAAGTGGACCTATCATGCTATATTATAATAATATAGTGTAGGACCATATCTATATAAGGCATATTTATACTTTTTTTTTTTTCAAAATACCAAACAGATCATGCATTTTAGCCATGCCTCATTTCGCTCAATTTGAAAATGTTAGCTCTGTTTTTGCAAGGGCTGATTCTGTGAGAACAGCACCATCTACAGGCCTGGCATATGTACTACAGCGTCTCCAGCGCTTTCGAACGGCAATGGCCGTGGCTGTCTCCTCCTGATTGGTGGAGTTGGCCCAATAGCCGTAGCGCCACTGTCCTGACGTCAGGACAGTGTTCAAATCTGGATCAGTTTTTATCAGATCCGTTGAAGCCCCTTTTTTAGAGATTTGGGTATGGAGGAAAATAGAGAGGGTTGTGTTTTCTGACACTTGGTGAGTTCCCTGGAACACCGGGGACACATATTCATGTATGAAAGACGTACAAAAGTGCATTTTGCATGATAGGTCCCCTTTAAAGAAAGTTCCTGTTTTATAGCACCTGGGGTTTTTTTCATAGATTTTGGCCATCTGCTTAGATCTGGGACTTAATCCACTGTGGCAAGAAACGAGTAGCAAGACGATTGCAGGTTTTTAACAATACCTCCAATTAGCCAAATTTGAGCCTGGTTTATCATTACATGAAATATAAAGGGTTCATTTGTTGTTGCAGCGATTAGTCGGGCGCCTCTGAATTGTTTTAACAAGGCATACATGGCCACCACTAAAACCCTACTGATAAAAGCAAATTACTTCAATATTGAAGTAAAATAATACTTTTCTTTGTACTGTTGATATGTTTCCGGATTTAAAAAAATTAAATTAAATGCTTTAAAAACAAATAGTTGAAGAAAATCTACATTTGAGCCAAATCGAATTGTTTACAGCAGGGGTTTTCAAAGTGTGGGAAGGTGAGCCTCCCCTCAGAGAACATAAGAACAGCGGCGCCCCCCCTCCCAATTATTATTGCTATTATTATTATTATTATTATTGTTGTTGTTGCTATAATGCAGGGGTATTCAATTGCATTTCAAAGAGGTCCAGTAAGATCAAATGAAGACTGTTTCTCTCCTCTTGTCTCGTCTCTGTGTGTGTGTTTGAATCTATCGTGCTGACTCACTGACTGCACCGATTTGATTGGCTGAGTAGCGTCACCTCCTTAAAACATTAAACAATAACTTTTTAAAACATTTTTATCTTTATGTTTTAAACATGTTGTATAAAACTCCCCCACTACTTGGACTATTCCTTGCACCCCTCTAGAATAAGCCCGAATGGTCTCAACTTATAACAAGATCGCAAGGACACTGGTAGCGATCGGACAAGAGTGTTGTTCAGTGTGTTGTGGAACATGCGTGTGCGTGCATGGAAATATACCACACACCCAATTACAATAGCATGTTCAATTCACTACCATGGAAGTTAATAAAGTTGTTAAAGTTGGAACAGCCTGTGGACAGCCGTTCTTCCTTGCATGTCAGTCGCCGACACCTTCTTACAGAGGACAGGCACATCTAGCTGCAGCACGACGTATATTTTCGCACGGTGTTCTCAACACATATTTTTTAAACATTTAAAACATCGTGGATAAATCCTTATATGTTCCCGGCAACACACTGAACGTTAACTTTGCCTCCTTATTACACTCACCCCTACTTTAGTGGGAACAATGAGTCTGCGTCTCTGATGCACACAGGAATAAACGCAGATCATCCTCTGGCTGCAGCCTTGACCGGCACTTACTTTTGATCAAAGTCAATGTGGAAAACCCGCACTCACACAGGTAGGTGGAGGTGAAGGGAATGAGCACTTTTACAGCCTTTTTGGCGAGGTGGGGGAACCCACAGTCTCCACAGACAGCCAAAAGTGTGCAAGTGTCACTTTACTCGTCTTTTTCTCGTTGTTCTTTTTCTCAAGCTGCGCCTCCCCTGAAGCTCTCTGGCGCCCCCCAGGGGAGGCGCGCCTCACACTTTGAAAACCGCTGGTTTACAGCATATTCAACCTTCTCCACGGGGAGTACAGATTCATCATAATCACATCACTTACCGTAGTGATGCACACGCTAGGTTTACTGTGAAATGAAGGATTATAAGCAATATTTTCAGGTGTGTTTACTTTGGGTTTCGATCATTTGGCTAAACCAGGGGTGTCAAACTCAATTTCATCACGGGCCACATCAGCGTTATGGTTGCACTCAAAGGGCCGGTTGTAACTTTAAGACTATATAAAAAAACATATATATATATTTAATATATATAAAATAATGTATTATATTACATCATTGCCTCTGCATTGGATTATTATGGGATAGGGTAATAACTTCATAATTAACTACGTCTGAAAGCAGAAGTCTAGGGAAAATAATTGCAGGTCTCTTCAGTGAGAATGTCACAAAATGATTTAAAAAGAAAAGCCAAATTCTAAAAAAAAGAAAGAAAAAAAAGTAACATTTTGAAAAAAAAGTCAAATTCTAAGAAAAAAGTCAAATGAGAGATGCATTGTGGGACATGTAGTTTATGGGCAACGTGCTTCTGTAAATCGGCATGTAATCGTATAATAAACATATTATATTCTTTCAGAGCTCTTGCGGGGCTACAGAAAATGAAGTCGCGGGCCGGATTTGGCCCCCGGGCCTTGAGTTTGACACCCCTGGGCTAAACTGTTTAAAACCTTTGCTTTGTACCCCTTGTTAGTACAAAGTAATCAATACTGAGAGAAATCACAACCAAGACAACAAAAATAAAACCCAAATTGTTATAAACCAGAATTTTCCTTTAACTGTCTTTACAGCTGAATGGCTTATCAACAGCAGGAGCTTTATAGGGAACTCAGGAATTTCTTTTCTCATCGAAGGGTAATCCCAAAAACCCCGATTCATAGCGAGGATATTTAAAATCATCATTTTGTTTTTTGCATGTTAATGTAGATGTTTTACAAAACATCTATGTTCTCAGTTATTTTTCTGACAGTTGAGGAAGGGTTTGTACAAGGACAGATGAATACACACACACACACACACACACACACACACACACACACACACACACACACACACACACACACACACACACACACACACACACACACACACACACACACACACACACACACACACACACACACACACACACACACACACACACACACACACACACACACACACACACACACACACACACACACACACACACACACACACACACACACACACACACACACACACACACACACACACACACACACACACACACACACACACACACACACACACACACACACACACACACACACACACACACACACACACACACACACACACACACACACACACACACACACACACACACACACACACACACACGCTTGGCAGGGAAGTTAAACAAAAGGTAATTAGACTAAATCTCTTTCAGAGCTCTTTACCGTTTAATCCCGATTGTTTAAATCTTACTGATTTCCTTGCCAACATTAGGACTACACACCAATTAGAATGTGTGTGTATGTGTGCACTGTGTGTGTGTGTGTGTTAAGTGATGATGTTAGTGTTTAGCGCAAAGTGTATTTTTTAACCCTTACCCAATTCTGCTCTTGTTAGAGTCTATGAGAGAACAGTCGATAGTCACTTTGAGCATTTTGGACAACACACACAACTCCTGTGTGTGTGTGTGTGTGTGTGTGTGTGTGTGTGTGTGTGTGTGTGTGTGTGTGTGTGTGTGTGTGTGTGTGTGTGTGTGTGTAATAAAACAGCGATGAGGATTTAAAGGCTTAGGCCCCTATTGTGTCTACACATGAACACATACAACTGATGTGCATGGATTGCTAATTTGGCTTAATAAGTCTTTCACATTTAGGCAGAGGGGCCTTCTAGTTTTTTTTGTTTACATTCATTTATATATTAATGTTATTTTCTTACTGCATCTTACTGTTCGTGTGTGTGTTCAGCTCGGTCTATGATTTGTAAATAAAACCTGAACCTCTCTGAATTTAAATATCCCGGATCAACCAATTGTCATACATTTTGACGTCAACACTACCTCCACATGGCCAGAGGAGGGCGCTGCTTTCCTGAGGCTGCAGATGGGACTTCTGCTCAGTACACATTACAGTGTTTTTTTATTTCCCCCCACACACACCAGGTGCACCAGCCAACCATTAGCTACAGGCCTCTTGGCTTTGATCTCAGTGGACGCTTCATAGCATTCGAGTTGTACAGTGTTCAAAAAGCTCTCTGCACGTAAATCTGGTTAAGATCTGGCCTTAAATGTAGATGTTAACAGTGATTTTATGAATATATATATGTAATGTAGAAGTGTGTCTTTACTCCTCACCTTGCTGGCCTTCAGCACATTGATCTGATCTTGGTTCACCGTGTCCTTGTTCTTCTCCAGGAAAGCGTCACACTGGTACTCCACCTGCTCGGCAACAAAAGAGCAGTGTGTGTTATAAAACCAGTGAGTGGGATTTATCCATGTCTTTCATTTCTGATGAGAAAGGACATTTTAGCTACTCTCCCTTGCATTTTTTTAGGTGTCATCCAACCCAAAGAAAGGTGTATATTCTTATGTCTTAATGTTTAGGGTTCATTTATAAAAAGGTAAAGGTTTCTATCTCTTGGTTTAACATGTTATTAATCTAGCAAGTGACAGTAAAGCATTCCCATTAGCTCATGTGCAGATATTAACTCTTACTGCACATGTCTTTAAATATAACAACATCAACCCTTGCAAATGTCTGGTCAGAAATATCTCCAAGAATCCTATTTTAATGTGCGGGGACTTCACTGGAAAGCCTACATTAGACTTCGCCTGTTAATCATGTAACCTTATAGTGGGGATATTAAAAGTAACACTGAGTCATACACTCTTTAAACGATATGAAACCTATTTTATTGCACTGGATTAAACCAGTCAAACACATGTACTCTAAACATTTCATTGCAGTAAAGCTTTTAGTGTGAATACAATGACAACAATAACAAAAAGTCATCTGTCCTCGAGCAATGCTAAAAATAACCCCAGCACTGCAGCAGCCACTGCAGCCGATCTGTGTTTTCTGCTGAGCTTTCCTTCAGTAGCTCAACCACATTCAACACTATGAGGTCTGGTTAGTGCAGCCCACCTTGTCAGCAAAATGTTGAATGATGAAGGCGCGGTTGGACATGCGTGGCTTCTCAAAGAGGGAGCAGGTCTTCAGGTGTGTGTTGTAAAGTTTCTGAGCCCAAGAATCATCCGTACCTTTGGGCATCTGGTGGAGAAAGGGAGAAGACACAGTGGAAACAAACAGTAAGAAAATATGTATAACCATCTGCTTATAAATACAGAAATACTATGAACATTTAAACATATCTAAAGCATTGTAATTACATTACATTTCATCCCACAAGTGTGTCTTTTTCTGATTCTTTTTTCACCAACAAGACAAAGGAGTTGTCCATTCTGTGTTTGTATTACCTTGCAAATATGTTAGCAATGTGGACCACCTCAAATGTCAACAGCTTGTAAAACGACCTTGCAGTCATTAAGAGCCACAGAGAGATTAGTCAGCATTGTGTGTAAACCTGCTCCGCTGTGAAAGTGTGTCGATGGTGCAGATATAAGCACTGCCTTAACTCTACACTGGTTTCCACCTGAATATTAACTCAAAAATCTAAATTTGATCTCGACATTTCATATACATTCAACCAAACCTTTGCCCAACATTAGCTTAAAGTGGACCTATCATGCTATATTTGAATAATATAGTGTAGGACCATACCTATATAAGGCATATTTATACTTTTTCTTTTTCAAAATACCAAACAGATCATGCATTTTAGCCATGCCTCATTTCGCTCAATTTGACCATTTTTTAGCTCTGTTTTTGCAAGGGCAGATTCAGTGAGAACAGCACCATCAACAGGCCTGGCATATGTACTACAGCGTCTCCAGCGCTTTCGAACGGCAATGGCCGTGGCTGTCTCCTCCTGATTGGTGGAGTTGGCCCAATAGCCGTAGTGCCACTGTCCTGACGTCAGGACAGTGTTCAAATCTGGATCAGTTTTTATCAGATCCGTTGCAGCCCCTTTTTTAGAGATTTGGGTATGGAGGAAAATAGAGAGGGTTGTGTTTTCTGACACTTGGTGAGTTCCCTGGAACACCGGGGACACATATTCATGTATAAAAGACGTACAAAAGTGCATTTTGCATGATAGGTCCCCTTTAAGTTGTGTTTGGGGCTTTTCTTAACTTTAAGGGGCCCAATTATGCTCATTTCAAGGTTTCTTAATTGTATTTTGTGCCTCTACTGTGACATGTTCACATGCTTGATTGTTCATAACGTGCTTTATATTACTCGCAGTCTGTGCTGCAGCACCTATGGAGGGAGCTTTGGGATTTTAGCCTCTGCAGACCATTTAAATGCACAAAAACAAGTGACTATGTATACAAATGTGAGTTTCTCAACAAGCAATCATGCAAAAGCATCACTTTAAAATGTGCATCTACCAGAGATGTGCTGAATATTTTTATTGGAAATGAGTCATTCAGCATACAAAGTATTACAAATTACTACTGATAAATCAACAAGAAAAAGACTCAGCTGACTGCGACATGAACAACCAATTAGTCAACCTATTAATCTACTAATGGGAGTCAGCCATAGTCGTGTAAAGCAATTGCAACACAATGAAAACATGCCATCTAACTGTGAATTGACTACGACTGAAAAAGCGTGTTTAGTTTCATTTTGTTTGCCATAAAGTTGTCAATGTTTCATACTAGGTTTCAGAGTCGGGTGAACTCTGTAGGTGTTCAGGTCTAGTGTGGTGGGAGGCACTGAAAGTTCGACAGTCACAAAATGTAAAGCAGAACGTGGGAGAAGTTCAACCACCACCCACAATGCTCTGCTTAATATGCAGCTCGGACTCACTTTAATTCTCCTGCTTGTTTATATTGATGAGAAAGTTTTATTCCCACCAGCAGTTTTCATAGGTGAGCAAGACTTATGTAAATGTATATATTTGTCATTGTGTGCCAATGCAGACTCTTGTTGAAAGACAGACTAACGATTAGAAGACTAACGGTGGGACCAAGCCATTTATTCTTTATATTTCTGTCTTGCAAACAAAACAAACGGATGAAATGCATTTTTTAGGACAGACCTTTCAAGGAGATATAATGATTTTATAAAATAAATCATGATATAGGAATAACACATTGCTCTGTCGGTCATGTGCTGGAAACAAATCTCTCTGCATCTAAAGTGTGTTTCATTCATGGTGAGGAGTATCAAAGTAATATCAGTCATGGGCGGACACAAATAATCTTACTCTCCCTGCCCCTAAATCAAAACATTACAAACGATTGCCTTGTGGTTGTATTCATCCGCCAAGCAGCAAAGTTGTAGTTTATTTCTATGGCTATCTGAGATTTATCACTTTATTTGACTAGAAATGTGTGTGAATTTGTCATATTATGTTATGGCCAAAAAAGTGTTTTGTGTCCTTAACTACCAATTCAGTTCTTCCTTGAGTTCAACTGGACATTTGTTAACTTTTTGAGGAATTCAAAATCGCGTTTTGCCCTGTATATATCCAATGGTAACTGTAACTCAATTAAATGTTAGCGTTTAAAAAGCTTGACCCTAACCCCTGACTTAAAGTGGACCTATCATGCTATATTTGAATAATATAGTGTAGGACCATACCTATATAAGGCATATTTATACTTTCTTTTTTTCAAAATACCAAACAGATCATGCATTTTAGCCATGCCTCATTTTGCTCAATTTGACATTTTTTAGCTCTGTTTTTGCAAGGGCAGATTCAGTGAGAACAGCACCATCTACTGGCCTGGCATATGTACTACAGCGTCTCCAGCGCTTTCGAACGGCAATGGCCGTGGCTGTCTCCTCCTGATTGGTGGAGTTGGCCCAATAGCCCCTTTTTTAGAGATTTGGGTATGGAGGAAAATAGAGAGGGTTGTGTTTTCTGACACTTGGTGAGTTCCCTGGAACACCGGGGACACATATTCATGTATAAAAGACGTACAAAAGTGCATTTTGCATGATAGGTCCCCTTTAACAAACAGTGTGTTAATTTGTTCTCTTGAACCCCCTTATTGAATCCTTCTTACTGCTCTTACTCGTTTCCCCACATATGATGTACTGGCTTAGATAAAGTAGTACCTTGCACTCCTCGTCCAGCAGGTCCAGGATGCCCATCTTAGCTTCTATGAGGTTGATGCAGGGCTGATTATCGTAGAAGTCGATCAGAGTCCAGGGGATCTGCTCCCTCATGTACTCCTCCTGCTCCAGCTTGAACACATGCTGCACACACACACAAATGAGGGGATTCAACTGTGTACTTGCATCAAACAATAACAACTAAAAAGGGTAAATATAGTGTGCTGCCCACCATGTTGAACTGCTGCTGGAGTTTCTCATTAGCGTAGTTGATACAGAACTGCTCAAAGCTGTTGATCTCAAACGTCTCAAACCTTGAGTGGAAGAACATATAAAAGAGACAATCTTGCTCAGTCAAATTAGCAAATAAAAAACTGGGCATGTAGTTTCCCTTGACTTTGTTTACGGTACTTTTAAGTTAGGAAAAGTCAGGGAAACTAACTTCCCTACTGCATTTAGCCATGGTGGACACTGTGATGTCTATGAACACATTACAGAAAATGAGTAACATCCGATTGGCTGACAGACGTACCCGTAGATGTCCAAGACTCCGATGAAGGAGTGCTGTTTGATGTTGGTGATCAGCGCTTTGTTAACATGCTCCACAATCCAGTTGAAGAGTTTGGCGTAGATGAGTTTGGCGAGCGCGTCGCGGGCGTTGGTGGCCATCAGGCGGGGGATGGTCTTTACATACGTCTCCGTAGCCGTCTTCAGCTTCCTGTGGCACAGCCACTGAGACATGTCCTGGTAGGTCACGCCCACCAACTCACAAAACGCTGAGAGGTGGCGATTGTTGGGCTAAAGAGGAAAGGAGGAGATTAAAATCATCACTAGGAGACAACATGAAAGGAGAAAAGGATCTGTTACAAAGAGTGATATTAGTCGAGTCAAGATGTACTATTCACTGACAATTAATCATAATACAGGGTATCCTAAAACTATAGATATACAAATGTAAATATCATGTAATTGTACTTATTCTACTTGTCCCATTTACAAGTTTTCCAGTATTTCAGTATTGGCATATAAATGGTATCCTCACTGGAATGATGCTGCTGTCTGAGTCTCTGTCCTTTATTTCCACGTTTCCCAGATGAAGAATAGCGGCCAAAACCTGGAACAGCCCCATCTGATAGGACTCATTAATACCTGCAAGGGAAAATACACACACACACACACACACACACACACACAAACACACACACAAAGAGACTCTGGTTATTATCTCATCGCCTACATCCAACAACACTCCATGAAGCCAATCGTTCTCTCTCTCCTCTCATCATCTCTTTTGCAATCATAATCATCTCAGTCTGAATTTGTATTTTTGTGTTCTATTTCAATGCCTTTCTCCTAAACCATGCATACAGATACCCGTACAGATGTCTTAACAGTCAAGTCAGGTTTACTAGATCGATTCATCATGATCAAGCCCATGTCCTCTCTACTTCCACCTCTCAAGGAACCTGCTTTTGCATCTTTCTTAAAATGCGCTGCTGCATACGTTACTGATGTGGAAAATCCCAACTTAATGCCATTTACCACGCCCTCTCTACTCATCAGACAATTTGCAAAATCATGCAACTGAGCCCTGTGGTAAGACTGTAGGAGTTACTTTCACTCTTTGCATTTGTTTAGCAATTTCAACCCCCATTTAACAAAGCCCATCCATAACCTTCGTCCAAATCTATAATCTTTCTGTAAAAATATGCATTTCTTCTCCCTACTCTATTCTGTATTTACTCTTGTGTGATGGTGTGCATGTCAGTTACCGAGCAAAGTGAAGGCATTGCGAGTGGAGCAGAGTTCCTTGGTGTCGTCCACGCCTTCGATAACGGGGCTGCGGCCCTGCTTGGTGTACATGAAGTCGATTGCACTGCCTGAGTGGAGAGGGAGGAAATAAATTAAGAAAACATGCAGAATGTGCAGTTTGTGCAACGTGGGTACATCACAGCATGTTCCGTCATCATGCAGATCTGGATTGGAAATGATCATATACACAATTTAATTAAACAGGTCAATTTATTTCATATTCAACCTGATAGACACTGAGTAAAGTGCTTTTGTTTTGGGTAAACTAGAAGGGGATAACTCACACCAGTGTGATTTTGGTGAGTGCCAAATCCGGCAGTTATAACATTAGCTCTGCGAGATTTAGAAAGCCCCCCTATAAGATAACATGTTGTTTCTTACTAACTAGGGGGCGCTGTCTGTTAAAATCCTTCACAGTGACATCAGTGCAACGTATCACAATTTCACTGACGGTTCAGGTTTTCTTTAAAGAAAAAAAGCTGAATCAAGAGCTCTTCTGTGTAAGAGAGATGTTAGCTCAACTTTCCAACAATCAGTTCATTTATACACACTGAAGCATGGCATGTTGCCTGGCAACGAAAGGCAATGACACGACTGTGACAACCACTCCATTAACTGAGCCAGGAAGTCAGCAGGAGAGGAAAAGACAGCAGCTCTGTCTGTGTGTGTGTGTGTGTGTGTGTGTGTGTGTGTGTGTGTGTGTATGTGTGTGTATGTGACAGAGAATGCCAACTGAGTGGCTTTAAGTGACAGTGCCAGCAGTGTGTGTGTGTGTGCGTGTGCGTGTGCGTGTGCGTGTGCGTGTGCGTGTACGTGTGTGTGTGTGTGTGATGACTAGGATGAGCAGGTGCAGGTCCACAGTGTGAGCGCTCTGTATGAGAGCCTGTTCTACTTCAGAGTCAATGAGTATCATACGTCTAAAAGTGATTTCAAATCTAATATCTGGCGGACACTACACTGCGGTTAATGAAGAGTTTAATGTGGAAGGGAGAAATGTTTTTTTATCGATTCTATTCTGAGCCGGCAGTTAGAAGCGGTTTCTCATTTGTTGCACATTAAATTGTAATTATTTTTTAGGCTGAGCCAATAATGGGTGTTTAGTGTTTCCCCTGCTGTGGAGAGTCTCTACGAATAGACACAATCAGTTCACTGCTTCTGAACAGCGAATGTACGAGCTGTAAGGCAGATGATATACAGTATGTTTCCAGCCCACTTTAACATGCATATGGTATGACTGTCAACTGTGTAGCTCTGAGTGTGTGTATAGATACTTACTGAGCTTTAGTTTCTCATATTCAGGCAGATGGGAGGATGCACAGAGCTGATAGAAGATATGATAATTTCTTTCCTCGTCCGCCTGGAAGAAAGAATGAAGATAATGTGAGGGAAATGGTACATGTAGTGTAGTATGCTCAGTTAATTCAAATACATCGCATGGATTATAAATATTGATCTGCACATTATTTTAACCAGAATACATGCAGGGAAAAATCATGTGCGTGTCTGAGAAAATGTATTATCTTATGTGCAGCACAATTATACAGTTGAACATCTGGAAGCCTCACTGGAGCAGTTGGTGATTTAGTGCCCTGCTAAAGGGCATATCAACAGATATAATCGAGTCAGATGAGAATAAAACAGGTTTCTTTTCACATGTGTGCGTTTATACCCGGGATGAAGTTCTACCTGATATATCAAACAACTGGCAAATATATGCATAACAATTAATGTTTAGGATGTCAGTAGTGTGTTGTAAACAAACCTGTGTCCTACACACACACACACACACACACACACACACACACACACACAGTACTGGAGCCAAGCATGTGAGAAATGTGAGGAGGTAAAGGTTACCGGTGTCTGCCAACATCCTCATTCCCCAACATTGTGTGTGTGTGAAAACAAATCTGATCTACAATCTGACATACTGGCTCCACCAGTAACTCGGTGAAGACACAATAAAGTTATACAAGAGAAAAAAGCTTGTAAACTTGATCTAACTTGGACACAAACCACCAAATATAATATTGTCTGAGACTTTGGGGGGGGGGGGGGGGGGGGCTGTAGAGAGAAAAATATATCTAAAGATGGATGTAGACAAGAAAAGGACAAAAGTTAAATCTAGAGGAAGAATGTCTTTGACATTAGAGGGGGGTGTGTCATGCTGTAACCCAGAGTGACGGAGGGATTGTCTCTCTCTCTGTTTGCTCTACCTCCTCCTCCTGCCTGAGAACAAATGTTTTACTGCATACTTCTTCTGCTCGGACACCAGGGCAGGTAGTGTTGGTTCATACTCAGAAACATAGTGCCTCAGAGTGTGTGTATGTGTGTATGTATGTATGTATGTATGTATGTATGTATGTATGTATGTGTGTGTGTGTGTCTTCTTGACTGCAGGTCTTCATAATTGTGAAGATTTCAAGCATAGAAAGAGTCCTTTCATTGCCAAAATTCACTTCTTGCATAAAATGGCAATTATGTTGTTAAATATTTAACATGTCGGTATATTTTAGCATTTTTGACCGGGATCAGCATAATTGTTAAATGATGGGCAACATAAGCAAGGGTGTGTAGGGTTGTTCACACAGAGGTTCAACACATCAAACTCCCCACCAGTTAGTCAGAATGGATGCCATTTGAAAGAGAGTCGAAATGTCAGATTTTTTAAAGTTATGACTTTTAGGTCGTTTTTCCTTCATTTGATATTGATAGTAAAGTCAGAGACATTGCATGTAGAGATAATAATAGGAGGCTAAAATAAAACTAGGTGTTTTGCAATCATATGGTAGCTGTCTTAGCTACGAGGTCACTGTGTGCAGTATGCACCAATAAATGGTTACATATATGTGAGAGGTCGGATATTTCTGAATAGTGAGACACCTCATTGATGCTTTTCAAAGAAACAGGGTTATGTTTATTTTCCCACATGTTGCCTGCTTGTTGTCCAGATAATAGAGTACCATACTTCACCATATGACACGAGGCAAACAGCTTGCAGTGAACTCATGCATGTGTGCATATGGTGTGTGCAGCACGTAAAACAAATCATGTGTGAGCCACTGGAAGCCAATTAACCACTGAGTCATGGTGACTTAACAGTGCTTTAGGTGTGTGATATGTCATCTACAATTTCACATTCAAGAGACAATTAGTATTTTGAATGTGACGTTTCACTTTAAGGGTGGCCAACAACCATACCGATAAAATGCATAATACTCATTTAAATTTGACTATAATGTAATTGTTTTTATTGTAATGTTTGAAGCAGTTGTTTGTATACACATACATACGATTCCAAATGGGCTTTCTGCAGTAATGGTTCAAACAAGGCAGTAAACTATAACTCACAGGTTCTGGATACCATACAGTACAATCATTTTAATGCCTGCGTGCATACACACCCCTGAATGTGTTTCATAATGGCTGTAGTACATTGTGTAAATACATTAGTGCTGACAGGCTTTGAAGAATAATTTAGCAAACACACCTTAAATGTCAGGCAATCCAAATGTTGTTATTTTTATTTATGCTGTTACTTACATTGTTTACTTTCTATCATTGTGTGAATTCCTACCTGAACTTTGAAACCTGAATGTACCTACAGGGACTAATAAAGGTTAATCTAATCGTATTGTATCCTATGTTAAACAAGCTAGTAGAGTATTCATGACAAATGCAATAAGAAATCACAGATCATACTTATAGAAAATTCTCTTTTGCCTGATTGCATGGAGAAAGCCAGAGTGTAAGGTCAGCTGAAGTACTGAGTGTAATCATGAATTAAATGTTCAGAAACATGCTCAAGGACCTCCAGCAGGAACAAAATGTGCCATCAGGAACCTGGTGGTGATTAATGAAGGACACAGCAATGCCTCCATGGCTTATGACCGGCACAAAAGTGGTAACGCCATGAAAGAAAGATTAAAAAGTAATAGTAGAAGTGTAGAGAAATGTAGATTAGTCAATTGTAACCGTGTCCGTGGATCTGTGAGAGCCAGGGGTAATCGACTGTGATGAGTGCAGCAATGAGTGCAAGTCAATGAGATTTCCACTTAAACAGTACAAACAAAACACCTCGTGTGTGCGTTGATGCAAACTCGAGTGCATGTGTGCACTCACCTGAAACACCACTCGTGATTTCTCCAGCAGATATGTTCTCATGTTGGCGCCGATGATACGGAAGCGGGTGTCGAAGCCGATCTCGATGTATTTCCCAAAGCGACTGCTGTTGTCGTTTCGGGTGGTCTTTGCATTTCCAATGGCCTGAGAGACAGAAGAAAATAAAAAAGCAAAAACAATTATTATTGAGAATATAGAGAAGCAGTTGCAATATTCCCTTTGTCAAGTTTTACTGTGGTTTGGGTATTATGGAGAAGAAATGAAGTACAAGTGAGGAAGAAAGTAACTATATTCACAGTTCAAATGTTTTAGGCGCTTTTATGTCTCGCTCTTTCCCAGGAGTTTGATCTTATTAGCTTAGCTTAGCTTAGCATAAAGACACAGCGATAAAGGCTATTCGACCTCTCATAAGCACTATTAAAATTGGCAAAAATGTCCCAATTTGGGATCAATAGAGTACCTCATCTCTTATTGCCTTATCTCAACCAAGAACATTATTCACAACAATTCTAGCAAGGAGTCGGAGCTTAGGAGTGATTCAGGAAATTTATAGTGGCCAAAGAAAAGGAGAGTGAAATCAAAATAATGACTTTCTGTTAAGTTGCTGTATCATATTGCTTGTTATTTTTTTACCATTTTGATACTTTTAGTAGTTCTTCTATTTGTGTTACAAGCGGTGACATGGTGTGGTCTCGCCTTAAGATTAGTAATTGTGTACTTTTCTGGAAATCTTAAGAAAAAGAAAAAGGGGGTTAAGATTTAAAAGTCCTTTTCAGACTCGGGGCTCTCTTTAAAGGCTAAGATGCTTTGTGAAAAACTTTTATCTGTATGAGTTTCTAGTATTCGTATAAGGGGCAATACTTAGAAAACCTCATAACATTTTTCTCAGAATTTCATTTCAGGGAGCAACTCTTATTACTAGGAAGCTTTATGAATAAAGCCCCTGATCCTTACACTAGCACGCCAGAACCTCTCCTACTGTCCTGAGATAAGATCAAATAAATGTGTGGTTGATCCCCACTTTAACAAACATCTTTTAAAGGACTTCTGTTGTTCTACTATCCATCAGCAAATCACACCGGAAGTCAGCAGCATTAGTTCAAGATACGGAATTGATCAATGACCCTACTAGGAATAGTTGGTAGACGGGCGAGGCTACACACACACGCACGCACACACACACACCAGCTATTTGAGTAGCCAGCTTGAGTTAAATGGTGTGTGAGCACAGAGGGTTCTTGCTGAGTTAAGGCTGAACACACACTCTTTCACTGCAGACAAGGAGCCTTTCAGCAGAGCAGGTATCCACTCTCTGCCTGCATCAGTCAAACACTACACACACACACAGTCTCCCTCTCTCACACACACACGCAGGTTTTCGTAATATCAAAAAAGGCTGACGCAACCATCTACTCTGCTTCAGGCTGGGGGGGCTGAAGTGACAGCAATATGATGAAAGAAAGCTCTCTTGGCTGAGAGGACGAGAGGGATGGCAGTGAAGAGGTCGGTAAAGACGGAGAGGGTGGGGAGGCAGGTTGGGAGGAGGGTGGTGGCATATGTGCACAGGGGAGCTCAACAAACACGCCGGGCCGGAGGACGCGAGGACGCGACAACAACCACACACACACACACACACACACACACACACACACACACACACACACACACACACACACACACACACACACACACACACACACACACACACACACACACACACACACACACACACACACACACACACACACACACACACACACACACACACACACACACACACACACACACACACACACACACACCACACACACACACACACACACACACACACACACACACACACACACACACACACACACACACACACACACACACACACACACACACACACACACACACACACACACACACACACACACACACACACACACACACACACACACACACACACACACACACACACACACACACACACACACACACACACACACACACACACACACACACACACACACACACACACACACACACACATCTCAGTGAAAAGCAGCTCCAGGCCAGAAACTGAAGGAAGGGGTTAGTAAATGCCAGAGGAGGAGAGAGCAAGAGGGGAAGGCATGACATTCAGACCATATCATCTACAAATCAACTGAGCTTGTGACTATACTGTGGAGAAATGGGGCAACAAAAAAAGACTATACACAAACTGCGAGGAAAAATGATGCAAGACTTTGAAGACAAACTCACACCTATGTAACTGAGCTTTTTCCAATCTTTCACACATTTTATTTAAGGGTTTTGAGCTGCAATTTTAAGTACACAGTAGCATCAAATGAATTTCTCAGTAAGTTTAATAAAATAGTCTTTGAATTGGATTTTGATTAGCTGTCATTGTTTCTATGGTTCATAAAATTGCTCTGAGTGATCGTGAGGATATTGTTTGCCAGTGTCAATGCCATTATAATGGTGGGGTGGATTCAGCCATCCACCTTAAACAATTTATAAACAATGTATTCAAAATGATCAATATATCGTTATTGTTCTTGCCGTGGATGGCCCTTTAGTTTACTAATTAATTCTCCATCATTTTCTATTTTAACACTGGTTCTGGTTTCTTTGAGTGTCAGTAACTGTTATTTTGTATCTATTGATTGTTGTGTTTTTATTTAGGTCTTAATGTGTGCACATGTAAAAATACATCTTTGACTGTGTATATATATATATATATTTTGCACACATATTTTTATATACATTTGTTTTTATATTCAGGATTGTGGGAAACGGTATTCCGATCTCTCGGTCTGTACACACAAACTGGAAGATTGACAATAAAGTTAAATTGACTTTGACTTGATTAGGGAAACAGCTTCTCTTTTAAGATCAAACTAAAATAATAATCTTAATCCAGGGTCTTTCTCCACAGACAGCTTCCTGCAGTCCTCACCTCCATGATGGGGTTGGAGGCCAACACCTTCTGCTCCACGTTGGCCTCGCTGGTGGTGCCGCTGACCGTAGCAAAGTACCTCATGGCGTATTTGGCTGATACTGTCTTTCCTGCTCCAGACTCCCCGCTCACAATAATTGACTGGTTCCTCTCGTCCCTAAAAAAAACCAACATAAGGATTTATCACGTGTGGAACATTGGAGCACTGTCTGCTCTGCCTGGCATAAAGGTGCTTTTAAGCATTTCATAACCTAATGACTTTAAATATAGGGTGAAAGGGTTAAGGGTGATGATTGTAATGTGTACTGAGTGTGACACAAATAATAACATAGTTAGGACTCGGGCAGATAGAAAGTGTCAGATGCTATCATCAACAATCATCACCTGCAGGCAGACCAGGTGTGAACACACTTATTAACCCTCTGTGTTCCTTTGCAGGCTCTAATATATCTGCACTTTCACCTACTTATTTAAAGAAGCAGTGTGCCAGCTTTCTCTGAAATAAGTCCGAGCTGCTGGTCCGAAGGCTGATTTTATTACTATCTTTTTCTTCTTTGGCATTCTCCTACCTTTGGCTCTTATTTCAGCCCCGGGTATTATGGGTATTTGCTTGAATTTCTTCTCTCAGTCCTTCTTTATTATTTTTGTCTCATAGTTAAAAACATTCAAGGAAGGGACGGTTGCTGTTGTGGGCATGTGATGCATATTTGAGACTTTTTATCTCAAACCATGCAAAGAAACTTGACTAGTGTTTCACAATCACTTAAGCAGAGTGTTACCCATCAGTGTCAGCTGATCTGATTTATGTAAAGAAAATATGACTAATTGCATACTTGTATGTTATTTTCAAATATTCCGTTTTGTAATGTAATTAAAAGGTGCTTCTTTATTACCAAGGTGCTAGGGAATTTACACCGGCTCCGTGTAGGTATTCATACCTTCTTAATAAGTATTAACAAACTTATTATAACACAAAGCACTGATTTTTCTGATTCATTTTGTGAGCCTGTAGATCAGCGGATGGCTCTGTGATATTCCCAGATCTCGGATGGTGACCAGGCATTTGCTTTTTAAGCCTCCAGACTTTGGAACAATCTGCCTGTTGATATTTAACTGGCTACACTGTAACATCTTATATTATGAATATAATTCATTGTGAAGCCCTACATTTTATGTTAGGCATGGAGTTGTAAAACTGTTTTCCAACAGAGCTACGTCTTAATGGACAAACTGAGAGGGTGACTGCCAGCCTCAACTTAAACTGAGAAGAAAGAAAGTAGGGAGAACTTAATGGTATATAGTCCTGATAAATACAATACAATATACATACAGTATGTGACATAAACTCCCAGAGGATGGCCAGAGAGATATACTGGTTGGTTCCTGCTGTAAAAAACAGCATTAAAAACAGTACGTGTGCGTGATTAAAAAAAGTAAGACATGGAGAGAGTCGGTGAGACCACCATGGGTCTATTTCTGGATCAGCTTTGACCTACAAACCCAGAAGAGAGAGGGAGGAGACTAGAACCAAGGCTACTCAAGTAACACACACACACACACCGACACACACCGACACACACACAGACCTGGCCATCTGTTTGTAAGCCTCCTCTGCCACAGCGAAGATGTGAGGGTCCATATCGCCCATGTTCTGGCCGCTGTAGGCATTGATGATGTCGGATCCATAGATTTGCAGCGTCTCATACGGGTTGATGGCCACCAGAACGATTCCTGCAGCACAGAGGGAAAGTGTGAGCTCACCTGCAGCTGAACTGGGCCGCATTCATCAGGAGACACACTGAGAAGCTGCTTTCAGTCTGAGAGGGTAGGAAATGTAGTTAAATACAGAATTCTATGTACAATTTTGCACTAATGTACATTCTCAAATATTGAAGTGACTGTTATTTTGTATATATTGATTGTTGTGTTTTTATTTAGGTCTTAATGTTTGCACATGTAAAAATGTGTCTTTGATTATGTGTATATATATACATATTTGCACAAATATTTTTATATACATTTGTTTTATATTCGGGATTGTGGGAAACGGTATTTCGATCTCTCTGTCTGTACACACAAACTGGAAGATTGACAATAAAGTTGACTTTGACTTTGAATATAATGCATATTGTTCTTTTCTTTTAATTAAAGGCGTTAATGTCCAATATCTTAAATACAGATAACAATCTTGCATGTCTACATGAAGTTGTTATATATATTTTTTATTATATGCATATGGCAGAAAATACAGTGTGTCATATTTACTGGCTTTCTTAGTAGCATCAAAATCAAAACCTTAAAATATAGTAGAAGGGGTGATTTGAGGTTTTCAAGAATAAAGTTATTACATGACTGAAAAAAACGATGTCATGCAGTGTATGTATGCCCTTGAATGATCTGCAAACAACACTTTATTGTACACTAAGGGACAAGTATCAATGAGAGTAAACACACAGTAAACAATGCTGGTTATTGATGTCTGCAGAGATCAAGGCATTGCTTAAATCATGCATGTTGAAACCTTAAAAAACTGATTAGTGTGTCATAAGTGCAGAAATGAACTACAGTTTGATTGTGTACAGTTACTGAGCTATAAACACAATGAAGGTCAATTACAATCTCTGGTTTATTACTGTAATTTGTAGCTTTACGGGTTAATCGTAGGTGATTTCCTGTTAGATCACTAAACTGTAACAGACAGGCTGAGGGGGGGAAGAATATAACTAGTTTTGCTTTCACTGTTTATTCACCTCTATCCTTAAGCTACATCGCTTGTTGTTTTCTTCACATTAGGCGCTTTCACACCGGAGTACTTTTCCCAGTAAAGTTCTGATAGTTCTTGAAATTTTGCGTTCACACCAAAAAAATCTGGAACTCGAACTTAGTTCATGAGAACCTTTTCACCCCCTTTTTAGTCCCTGCTAGAGAGCAGGTACTTTCATGGGAGAAAAAGGTTCCCATTTCTGATTGGCTGGGCGGATTGCAAACCACGCCCGGTAAAAGTTTTTCTAACAGCATTATTATTCAACTATTTTGAGATAAAGAGTCCAGTGTGGCTCGGTAGCAAACAGTCAAACTGTCTGTTTATTTATGAAAAGCCTCTATTTCTGCATGCTGAACACAAAGGGAGGCACTGACGAGTGTTATATGTGTTAAGGAGAGATGATTAAATAAAAAAAGACCACCTTATTTAATCCAACAAATCACTTCAATCAAATTAAGAGAGGAGCTATGGACTTTTAAACATAATAAAGAAAGGTACTGCACACTCAAAAATGTACACATATTATTAAAGTAAGCGTCATTGTCATCATAGGAGGAATTTGTGGGGGAAAACTTCTGTGTAGCAATGCAGTGGGAGTCACCGACTCAGGAAGGAGACACGGGGTAGAGCTGGAGCTTTGATGGCAAACACTGATGGTTTATTAGGAGCTTCGGCCGGAGAATTCACAAAACAAGTCAGAGAGTCAGAGGTTCTGACTTCACGGTAGAGTTGCCACGTCAATTCTGAAGAACTCTACCCCAGACCGATGTATTTAGCTAGTTCAGAGAGAATAATCAACATTGTGCACAACAAGATAGAATCATAACACCTCTATCAGCTGACGCCAACAGGCAGGAACAGGGAGACAAAACACTGAGAGCACAGCAGCCAAGGTTACAGGTGCGTGTGCTCAGTCAGGACGGTATGAACTGATAAACTGGGTCAAAGTTATGGGCCTTGGAAAATATTTCCCCAACAGAAATGACATTTGAAGCATCAGTTTGCACGTACCACTTTAAAGCAGATGTGTGTCTCTGTAGTCGGCGTAAAGAAGTGGAATTCTTTACCGAATGATTCAAAGGGCTGTAAGAACATTTTTATGTCTAAGAAAATGTATAAAGAAAGCATATTTAGACAGTATGAAGTTGACTTTTGATTGTGTTCTGGTTTTATGTTTCAGTATTTGTAAGCAACTGAGACTGAAAGAATATTGCTTTTATTTTACTTTTTAATTGTTATTTCATTTTTTGTTATTTTTGTTATTTTTTTGTAAGAAGGGTCAAATAGGATGTTCTTCTCCCTGCTCCTTTCCACCATGCGCTATAAAAAAAAAAAAACAGTATAAGTGTACATGTTTTGTAAAGTGTACATGTTTTGTTTTAAAATAACTGCCATGAGTGGAATAAACTAATAAATAATTGTTTAAAGGTCACCTATCATGCTATTTTTAGGCAATAGCATAGGTCTCAGATATATACAAATATATAAAAAACATGTCTATGAAGTGTTTTGCTCAAAATACCAAACAGATCACCCATTCTAGCCATGCCTCATATCCCTCTATTTCACTTCCTGTTTCAAAAGTGCTGATTTGGGGTATAAAGCTTTAAAAAAAAAGAAAGAAATTGATTAAAAAAAGAGGAGGGGGCTGAGCTCATGCGGGAGATTCTACCGGCAGCTACTGCGGTGTTGAAACGCCATATCATGGATTATCAAGGATTATTTCTGAAACAGTATGGAGCTCAAAGGCTTTCTCTCTTGCCGGTTATACAACAAGGTGAGTTCCTTTTTATTTCCTGCTTCTTCACACACATGGGCCGTTTCTCAATCGCGAGGATGCTGGCTTGGTAGCACAGCCGAGCCGAGCATCTTGCTTCAGAAGCTAGGCAAGAATCCTTCCTGGCATTCGGAAAACGAAGAGTGGAACAGGCTAGCAAGTGTGAAGGTGTGCGTCATATAAGAGGCCCCGCCTTACATCTTCCGCCACAGATTTGGGGAAATTGGTCCATGCGCAAAGCATTGTGGGGATTTTAAGGACGTGAAGTCTACCCATGTGCAGCCTCGAAATTTCCCTCAAACCAAGGACGCGGCCTCGGTGGAATTCCAAGTATGCTGGAGATTGGAACAGTCCTTCGGCGGCACTCGATGACGTAGCATCCTTGAAATATTGGCTTGGAAGCCAATATCCTCGCGATTGAGAAACGGCCATGCTCTGTGCAGTACAGGTTAGCTCTGAGTGTTAGCGATGCTAATGTAAACACCGACCATATTACGTCCAAAACAGTCGGGCATTGTTTCTGATAGCAACGTTTCTGATAGGGCCGTGGGTGTAAAGCCAGCCTACATTTCCGATATTACGTCATATCGGACGCAAATCTGGATCAGCTCCGTTGTAGCCCCGTTTTTAGAGATTTGGGTACGGAGGAAAAGAGAGAGGGTTTTATTTTCTGACGCTGCGTGAGTTCCCCGACACACCGGGGACACATCAAAAAGTGCATTTTGTATGATAGGTCCCCTTTAAAAAGCAAAACCTTTGCTCGTTCAAAGATGTTGGCACACATTTGATTGTATGGAGGGTTTTTTCATAAAGGGAGATGGCGTTAGACATTTAAAGCTTCATTCAAAATCCTTAATAGAACATTTAATGTAAATAGAGCAGTGACAACATGCATTAGGTCTTCTTTAGACAGTTTAAGCGCCACGTACCGCAGTAGGTGTAGATGAGCTTGGAGTCCATGAAGCGGACCTTGAGGTTGTGCAGCACGGCCGGCTCGTGGAGGTAGCTGAGCGCTGTGAGGTCGTTCTCTCCCACCAGGATGTCGGGGTTTCGCAGGTAAGGCAGGTTCTTCGTCTTGGGGTCGAGTTTGTGCTCGATGTTCTGAAGATGACCAAGAAAACATAGCAGAACAGGAGTTATAACAGCAAATCACAATGAAATACTAAAACAAAAGATGGTGAATCTTAAAAAAAGGTAAAGGCAACAAATATACGTCCAAGCTTGAGCATTTAATGTCTAGACTGATGAAATACATTTTCTGGGACCATTTAGTATTTAGGGTTAGATTAGCTTAGTTTGTATTGAACTTGGTTAGCCTTAAGGTATTTTTAGCTTATACATGTTCCTACTTCGTACACACACTTTGTCCAGTTATGGATTTGTTAGTAAGATATATTTTAACTACTTTTCTGTCCAGGCCCTTTTTTCTCAAGCTTAGGATAGCCGTCATCATGTCTTATGATTGTAGTTTTTAACGGTTTGTGAATAAAATGAGATTAATTCAGCTCAAATCCGACAAATCCGAGATCAAAATAGTTTTTTGTGTCCTGATTTCTGAATTTTTAACAGCCAAGTAATATGCAACTACTTTCTCTTGCCTTTCTGGTGCCGGTCTTCTTACATTGCCAGCAGACACCGTTACATGTTTATACTCAAATGATGAGAGAGAAACATGCCTTCATATTGTTCAAAGCCAAAAGTGAAAAGGTTAATTCCACAACATAATCTTAAATCAAGTCCTGCGATAAAATCCATCGAGCGATTTCTTCTGGAAAGCACATCTGGAAACTCCTTTACTGTTGAAGTTTTGCAGGTCTGGCCGCCTAAGGCTGTGTAGCCATTGTTTGAATTATCATTATCCACACCCACTATGTATTAATACGGTTTTTCATGCATTTGTTCTCAAAATGTCATGAGACTGGCTTCTGATTTGGCATGGCTCTGCAGCAAAACCACCAGTCGCTCAAAAACTGTTATTGTATTCATCTTGTTTTCAGTTTGGTTCCCCCTCGCTATCTGTGTGGAGACATTTTACATGTTTTACATCCCTATCAATGTGATCTCTCTCTGTGGCTGATGATGGATACTGTTAGAAAAATCCTTCCAGTAAACAACGTCAGGAATCAAATAGATAATCTGATTGTTTGACTGACTTACTGAGTGTGGTATTTTGAACATATTTTGACAGCAGCTATCTACCAAGCACAGGGCATTAAGGCGGCACAATCATCTAAATCTGTTCTTTTATGAATTAAATCATTTGATTCTTAATCTGCACAATGATCAGCAAAAAATCCACAATGAGAGACAAGCATAACAAACCTAAATTGTTTTGTTTCGCTATTCAAAGACATCATTTGTCTAACGGTTGGTATGACTTGTCTCCATCCTGTGAGAGCTTGAGCTTTCCGGCTGCTGCAGGCCTACTGAGACATGTGACGTGATATTTAGCAACCCAAATAACCTTGAGTTATTCAAAAAATCCTTTATCTCAGCTCTGCCTGGAGTGGCACCAAAGATCTGTCACTTATTCCTTGGTTCATGTCCTTATTTTTCACCCAATATCATCTAGAATGGATAACAATTTTGCATGACATTAAACCAGAACCAGCATCGTCAGACTAATTAAAGAAATAGCAAAAGACTATTTATGACCAAATTATCAGACCTGATTTAGCTTTGGGCTACTAAATACAGACTATACTAAGGCTATATGACGTGGGCTATTATTCAACTGTTCTATCATCAGATCACTTTATCATTATTACACTTTATGTAGAAGTTTGTGGAAGTCATCCGTAGAGAAGGGAGGCATTTAGCTGCTAACTAGCTTTAGCCAAGTAGCATGCAGCAGTACCAGCAGTCTAGGCTTTAGCTGTTGCTAGGCCACACTACTGTAAGACTGATGTCGTCATAAAAACATTGAAATATGGCAAAAGCCCTTTGCCGATTTACGAGGATAATAGTCCCAGTGATTAATTACAGTCCAGGAGATGCTGCTCAAAGTTTTCAGAGAAGAAAAATAGATAAAAAAAGGTGAGCAGAAGCAAGAGCGTCTGCACTGTAAGAAAGCAGGAAGCAACTTTAGCTGTACTTCTGTATATTTTATTGTTTATTTTATCTTATGTTACTCTAAAAAGGGAGCACATTTCCACTAAGGGATAAATAAAGCATTTCTTATTCTGATTCTCCAGAAATCTTGCGGAGTTCATGGGGGGAAAACGTTTGTACAGTTGCACCGATGTTGCTAGCTAAATTGGCATATGGTCACATGATTAAATCATAAGGAGCAATATGGCAAATGGTCTTGCTGGTAGCATGCTTTCATTATCAGGAGAGCTGTGTGCCGGAAGCTGTTTGTATTCTAAACTGCAGAATTAAATGCACTGCTCTACATTTTAAATGCTCCTTCGGGCATCTTTGAAAGCAGGTCTCATTTGTGGAGAGTGCTAAGGATAAAACCAATAACCGCTAATGAGAGCCAGCACTTTGAAGTGTCTTTGAGGCGGAGACAGAGAGAGAGACAGAGGAGGCAACAAAAAGAGCTGAGAGGAGAAACATCCTGAAGAGGGAGAGAGTCCTCACCGTTCCATCCTCCAGCATGAGCTGCAGGGAGGTGTCGCCATCTTTGTAGTCATTGGTCAGCTCAGCAGACTTCCACACCTCCTCTGCATCGGGGATCCACACCCGAGCACGCTGAAACACAAGAGGAGGAAAGAGATGTTAGAAGATTAGGATTTTATCGTACAAAGGCAAGGCAAGGCAAGTTTATTCATTTAGCACCTTTCAACACAAGGCAATTCAAAGTGCTTTACAAAAATGAAAGACATTAAGAAAATGGCATTTAAACAGTCACAGGGTATATGCAGGAATCCTGAAGTCCAATGTAATTCCCTTTAAGACCTTTTTTAAGACCCTTTCCATACATTTTAAGACCTCATCGCCACTTTGAGTTTTAACCGGTTACATTGGCGACACACTTCACCTCACATTTACTATATACAGTATTGATTGTCCTTCCTCCTTATCTTCCAACCATTTGGACACAAACTTGCATTTCCCCATAACGATGTTGTTTAACAACCGGCGTAAACGGACCTTCGCACGCTATCAAGCAGTGAGCGTGCGATGTCCTGTTCAGATGACGTCAAATCCAACGGGATGCCATAAATAAACTACACAGAATCACACTGCACACCTACGCAATGATTACATTCAGGCAGACTGTAGAATACAACCTCTTTGGACAATTGATATACTTATTGAAAACAAGCTACAAAATGTAATACCTTGGAAAATGCCGTTTAATACTTTTTAATAGCCATTTTCGCTAATTTGATTTATCAACTTTTAATACTTTTTAAGACCCCGCGGACACCCTGGGTCATTAAAAAGCAAAGATAATAAAAATAAACATTAAAGTCAGTACAAAGGTTGAGTTAGAATTTATGATTGTCGTCATCTTGATGGACAGGGTCGTCAAATTGTCTTCATAATGGATGTATTATAATTTATAATACATTTAAAGATAAAGCATATTTTATTGCATTTAGTGTGCATGTTTTAATAAAGTAATATAGAGAGTAGGCTTATATATTATAAGGGCATGTACAAAAAATGAACAGAAATGCTTAATATGAAGGTTTTTTTTCCTGCAATGGAAGCAAGGCCTATCCACACAAATCTAAACAATGCAATTTTACAAATTAGTTTTTGCATCTTTTCCTCACATGTACGACTTCTTATGGCTTCTATTTTGTTCTGATGGCTCAACCAGACAGCATTTGAGGAATACAAATTATAGCAAGAGCTAGGGGTTGCTGACATCTTACATTACCAACCAATTTTTTAAGAAGTTGATGCCATCTTTATATTTAGTTCAGCACATACACTAACAGCTTGTATTTTTAGACAATCCCACATACGGTAGGCTATATAAACTCATCTGATAAAGTATCAGACGTCCCTGTGCAACGAACCCGCTGCCCCTGGACTCCCAAGTAGGTTAGAGTAAATATTTTATTGACTCAGTTTGCTCCACCTGACTCAGTTTTGCTCCATCTCATTTCAGCAAAAAGCAATATAGTGTTGAATGTGCTTTTTGGTTTTGTCTTGTTTACCCCGTGTCAAATGTGCTTATTATAGTTGTTCTTACATTAAGTGACCGTCATGCTGTTTTTGAGCTTTAAGTTGAGTCTGATCATTTAACTTTTAGAAAATCGCATCTATTTCAAATAAATACGAGGACATTCCAGTCTACTTTCGTCATCACATAAAAATGAGCATTGAACTCAATCTAGTCTAGCCAAAATATGACCTTGTTTCCTTCTCCCAAGCCCCCTCTTTGTCGTTTTTAAACTGTCATGTAGATAAGTAATTTACTCCGAGTCCTCCTGACTCCTGGTATGGCGCCCACCGCACATCACAGGACACACAAGTGCTGCATTGATTGATTGATGCATTTATTTTTGTAGCTACCTTATAATTTATTTGCAACAATACATCATGTTAATATAGTCACACAGAGCTGGTGAAGGACATCGTTGCTGCCTCGTCATTTTCCCAGCTCAGTCATGGTACAAACGGTCATAACGAACATGTTTAGTCATAGTATTCAGTAATGAAATTGACACTGCTTTTAAAAGATGGCACACAGGACTTCTTTCGTCAGTATGACCTCAGAGAAAACACTGGCTCCAATGTGTTCACACAGTCATGAGCGCATGGCTGGTAACGGTCAGTTAAGTCGTGGGAACAGACCGTTGGACAGACCGAGGACTGAGGAATGCAGTTGTGGACAGTTCACTATAAAACTGCTTCAGACCTTACAGGCTTGTGACTGGAGGCAACCAGCTGATCGCAGACATGTGGAAAAACAGTGATGAACACTGGCAGTCACATGGCTGAGGAATCCAGCTCACAAACCGACTGGAAATGGTGTTGTAGTTTGCTGAATGACTTCGGTGTGATTAGAGAATTGAGACAAAACAAACAATGTGACCTTAAAATCTCTCAAACTTTACGTGTTGTAATCTCAACATGGATGAGGATTATACCGTAGATAAAACTGATTTGTTTTAAATACGAGTGAATTATGAACACTCACAGTGAACTACTTTCACAGGACTATCTGAAGGACACTTTTTAAATACCTCAGAAGACACAGGGAGAGGATCTGGTTCATTTGTTCTGCTGCTTCACTACCGATCATCTGAATCATGACATCATGGTCACACACACACACTTTGCCCTCCCTCTCTCCCTCCGTCTTACTCTCTCTCTCTCTTATTATAAAGAAGGGTGGTGGTGTATAATAGCAGCTACAGCCTCTCCCAACAATGTGTAGAGGTCTTTTTGTTTTACCGATACAAATATTTTTGACACTTTTTGAAACTGAACACTATCAACAAATCCTTCCATTTCTATTTGTCACATGTCAATACATATTAGAGCTGGAGAATATGACCCACATTTTCAATCCTGATAGGTCATTTCAGAAATACATATTGACATATTAGCTTAGCCGATCTCCATTCAGAAAACACGCATTTTAAAAGGTTTTTCGCCTGCCGTCTGTCTGCAGACTTGTCAAAGCATTAATTCATGGTTTTTACTAACCGGTATCAGTATGTTGTTACTTCGGCATCATTTTGAAACGTGTATTAGAATTAAATCACGGTCAAATATGTTCATTGTGTTGTAGTTGTAGCCACTCGCGTCACTAGTTTAGCATATTCAGCCCGGTTGTTGGCCCGGAAAGAACCACGATTTTGGAGAGCCAGAAAAACTGTGAAAAGGTACCCGTTAGCCGGAACTACCCCTAGTGGAAACGCAACCAAAAACGGGCCGGGTTTGGCACGGCACGCTTAAACCGTGCTACGCGCTGCAGTGGAAATGCGCCTTTAGACATCAACACATTGTAAATACGAATGTTGTATTCTCTTGTGTAACTGAAACACATGATATATGAAGAGCAATTTATCATTCAAAAACTTTAGTGCATTATTTAGACAAATTCATTTCACAGCTATTCACTGACTATGGTTACATGCACACACAAATAAATTAATAAAAATAAGATTGATTTAACAGAGTTTAATCAGATTTTTGGATACCTTTTAGTAAGTGTGCTTGCTTTCATTATTTTAGACCATGTTATTGTGTATCATACTATATTGATATATAGTTTCATTACGATAAGATTCTATTAAAAGACGATACAGGCTCTGTGCTTTACACAGAGCCTTTCTGGATGTTTTGTTAAAAGTGTCACACAACTGTCTTCTGTCTTCAAAGCTCCTCCCCCCCCCCAAACCCCCAGGTCGTCCCAAATTATTTTCTCTTTCTCTAATCCCTCCCCTCTCTCCCCCCCTTCAGGAACACCAGACTGGGGTCACTGTGGTGAGGAAGTACGCTGTCGTGTGGTTTTAGGTTTGCCTTTGAGTGACAGCTACAGAAGAAGCCATGCAACCTGTGCGAGTTAGAGATTAAAGTTAATTGCAATTTACCTTGGTTGCTGATTGGCTAATGGTTACACAAGCCAAAACATCGTTATGACATCATAAAGTGGCCAAAATCTGATCAGCTCATTTTCAGACAGGTTTTTATATAAATGGATTTGGACAAAAAGTGAGAGAATCTTTTTTCCTGAAACTTTCAGAATCTCTTTACACAGAGGGGACACATGTTTATGAATAAAAGACATGAAAAAGTGGATTTTGCATAATAGGTGACCTTTAAATAAAACCTTAATAACAATAGAGTTAAGGATATTTCTCCAAAAGCACCCTTTTCTTTTTCTTTAGAATTGTGACCTATATAGAGTATTTACTGACATTGAATGAGACATTAAACAGTGAAACAGTATACTTGGTAGGACTACTGGACTATGTAATTGCGATACTGTAATACCAGCACATTGTTGACATCTACCTGGACCCATCTTCATTCTCTTTTTCTATATAAAAACCTTTGGACCGTCTATGTTGTAAATAAATTATCTTTTTAATTCATATACATGAGCCCTACTGTACGTCTGGGCGTCATGGGGTAGGACCCTAAGTATAGAATGTGTCGTATTCTCCCCAATAATTTTTTTTGTCATTTGTGATATTTGGCTTTATGGATTACATTTGATTGCCTGTATCTAAATTACACTAAATATGTTTTTATCTTTTCTGCAGTGCGATTTCTTGTGAATTATTAGCCGGCACATGATATGAATATCTGCAATTAGCTTAAACCAGCTGATAGTCAGTCAATGTTGGCCTATTTTTCTACGTTTCTGCCACCACTGTGTGCAAGGATGCGTTCTTTCGCCCCTACTTTTTATAATGTACACTGATAAATGCAGGAGCATGCAAGACAACAGCTACCTGGTTAAATTCTCAGATGATACCGCCCTCTTGTCCCTCCTTAGCGGCTCAGAATCAGGAGTGTGCTCTTACTGATTTTATTTCCTGGTGTGATGACAGTTTTCTGGATTTAAATGTCTCCAAAACCCAGGAATTGATCATTGATTTTAGACGTCACAAGGATGTTCCTAAGGAGTGCATCATACATAATGACAATGTAGAAATTGTCAAATCATACAAATACTTGGGCACCATTTTCGATGAGCACCTCAAATTTGATGTGAATACTGAGTGTATTGTGAAGCGGGGTCAACAGAGAATGCACCTTCTTCGCAAACTGAA